ATATTGAGATTTTACAGTTTCTTATGTTAACATAAATAGTTGGTTTAAAAAAAAGAGTTGTAATGCTCAATTTGTATTTGTACACATCACATGAACCTCAGTATGGAATATGAAGTCATGAATCAGTCCTGATGTAACTTTTCTGTGGTGAAAGTAGAGTGATAGAACTATTTTACTCCAAATTCTAATTTACACATTTTCATTTTAGACATGAACAACACATGTATATAGGCCTATAGTGTAATTCATATATTTCACTACTTTTGTGAACCAAAAACGTTGGTAAACCAAATCTGAAACACCAAAAAAATGGATGACATGAGTACATCTGTGTTTTCACAAGAGTTTTTAAGTTTTCCAAAAATCTGATTTCTAAGCTAAGTATCTCATAAGACAGTTCTCTAAGGTGAGTGACATTGCATTTCTAGCAAGACCAGAGACTGAACATTTTGATATGTTACACCATGCCATGTTATAAGAAGTACATTTAAAAGGTGATTTAAGGAGACATAAATACCCTTCACTTCAGTAAGATAAGGTAAGGCGATTTTATTTTAAAAGACAATGAAGGCAGGTTATATTGATTGATATATTTATTATATTGAAAGCCAAATTAATACATAGTCCCCTGAATCTGGAATAACGTACAATTTACAGCCTCACAATGTCAGGAACTTTTCATCTACAGATTGCTTTGGTCTGGTTTTGCTCTTCACTGATTGGTTACTGAGACTTTGAACTTAAACGGACCTCCCTAAATCCGACGACTTCTCAGTTGCAGTGGGCGACATTATTGTCACAAGTAAGAAGGAAATTACATACCTAGGATCTATTCTTGAGGCAAACCTCTCCTGTGACAAAATGGCATCCAATGTAATAAAAAAAGTCAATCAAAGAACTAGATTCCTATACCGGATCTCCTCTCTGGTAAACAAAAACACCCTGAAAACTCTGGCAGGAGCACTCATTCAAGGGTACTATGACTATGCTTGCACGTCATGGTACCATAGCACCTCCAAGGCGCTAAAAATAAAACTTCAAACATCGCAAAATAAACTGGTCAGACTACTGCTTGACCTTTCATCTAGAACCCACCTCACCTCTGCCCACTTTGACAACCTAGGATGGCTTAGAGTAGACGACAGAGTACAGCTACTTGCAATGGGCCTGGTCTACAAGATCCACTACACCTCTATGGTACCCATGTACATGTCAAAATTATTCCCAAAGGTCAAGGAATACCATGATCATAACACCAGAGGGAGCTCCACAAATCATGTGAAACCCAGATTTGGCACAAAAAAGGGGGAATACACGTTTCGCAATTATGCCACATCAAGGTGGAACGCTCTTCCCACAACTGTAAAGGAAAGTAAAACTATACTTACCTTCAAAACCTCTCTTAAAGAGCACCTTCGGGGGAGAGCATTGCAAAACTGGCCCCGGTAATGGTACAAATCTCAACCTGTCGTTCAATGGACAGCTTCCCCCCCCCCCCATCTATGTATATACTCGCATTTTAGACTCTGTTACTAACTGTATATCTGTAGACTTGGTATGTCTTAAATGTCCGGTTAGGATGTATTAGAACGAAATCTAAAATGAAAATTGTAAACAAGCAATCTGTATGTAAAAAAACCACCTGTATGTAAATTGTAAATAAGCCATCTGTATGTCAAATATGTCTTATATGTCTTAAATGACATGATGAATTGGAAATGGGGGGACCCTGATGTAAACAAGACGAAAGTCTTTCTCTGGTCTGCATCCCCTTAACAATTGTATGTTTTGAGCTGTACTGTACTGTACCCAATATACAAGCTGTTAATAAACTTTTCAATCAATCAATCAATCAATCAATCCCCGTTTATAAAACGGACCTCCCCGTTAATCCGCGCGAAACTACGCGCAAATCATGGCGCAAATGGCGTTCCATAGCTGGTGACTTTGCAGACCGTTTACATGCAGAAAAACCTTCATAACACAGAAGGGGACGGGTAACCGGAAAAGCATGACATGGGACCATGGGACCCTTAATGTTACTGTTACAATACAGAATAATGGAGACTACTGCCACCCTGTGTTCAATGTGTGGTACATCGCTCAAATTCAAGTGAATTTAGTGTATTCACAGGAAATGAAAGTGAATTTAGTGTATTCACAGGAAATGAAAGTGAATCTAGTCTATTCATAAATAAAAATGTAAAGTGGACAAAGAGTACTAATATGGAGAAGAAAGTGAATCCATTAATCAATGTAATAAAAGAAAAGAAAAATAAACAGAAAATATACCAAAAATCGCCATCATGTATCATCTTTTGTGCTTTATTTGTGCTCTATTAATTCATTTACAGCTCCAAAAACTAATGAAGATGTAGGCTTGCACTTTTCTAAGATGATTTTATACAATTTGTTTTGTTTTTTAAATAATTGATTTATAAATGATTGCATGGGGTAGAAATGTAAACTTGTCTAAATCTGTAGTTAAGTGCAATGATAAAAAATGATGGGGATCAAGATGATAATTGAGATGTCAAAATATATCTTGACACTGACACTAGTGATTGGGAACATTTTAAACAAACACTTACTGAAACAAAAACATGTAATACAGTCAATAATTGTTACATCTGCTGGATACCTCTTTGGTATTTGCTTTGAACATTTGTAGTCAAAATAAGTTAACTCACTATTATCACCAGTTGTGTTTTTCTTAAAGATCAAATGCAAAGCTTTTTGTATAATTGCCAGTACAATCGAAATCATATAGCTACAACACTATCTAAGATATTGCAGTATTAAAATCGGAGATAATATGAGTCTGGAAATGCGCAATATTAATTTTGTTCAACCCCCAACACCAAGTCCGACGATTTATTTTCTCCGCCGCAAGATGGCGGCGCGTGACGTCAGATGTGCCAAACATATTTCCACCTGGCTTATCAATCACAGCGGCTTCCGCCGATAGTACAACTAGTTTCGTCTATCATGTCTGATTCTGAGTAGACTATAGACTAAAAGCTTTAGGAATCCAAACTATAACATATAATAAGTACCCTGTATCAAGATTGATGCAAAACAAGTGAAATTTGACCTTTTTAGAGAGGTTTAGAAAAATAAAGTCCAGGCGCTCTGAGTGAGCCTCTGAATTAGCCCCGAGCGAAAAATGCTCGCAGCGGCTTCCGCCGATAGTACAACTTAGTTTCGTCTATCATGTCTGATTCTGAGTCGGAGGCCACCCAATATCTGGAGTATGTTGTCGACATCCAACCATATCTATACGAGCCTCTGATGTCGAAGAGGAAATACAAGGAAACGTCACCTGATATCACCGATGAAAGTGCTGATGGCGATGATTCAAGTTCGCCATCTGAGGAAGAGGCCGAGGGTGCTGAGAATTGGTGTAGATGTGGAAACTGCCAGACCATGCCTACAAGCCGAGAAAACAAGTGCTGCCACAACTATGGGAAAGTGAAGGAAGAGATGGGAGAAGAAGTCTGCATCACCGACTGTAGGACGTTCGACATTTTCCGTTATGAGTGGAGGAGCGATGAATGAGCTGCAGATAAACTAGAATGCGTGTAGTGAATTAGCCCCGAGCGAAAAATGCTAACCTATCACTCCTAGCGCCCTTATTACTTATCCTAGCTCCACATCCAACACATTGTTTATGATCGTAAAGACACAGAATCTAACGGTGCCCACCTCTATAAGCAATACAACTGCAATTCCGTTATCTGCTGTGCTCCGTGCGCTTTGAAATCTAATCAAAAGTTGTTTACCTCAATTATTTGGCGTTTCTGCATCGCCCGGCTCTTTCGTTCTTTCAGTGGTTTCTTGTGCTGAAATATGGAGGGGACGGCTCCGGGTTTCAGCCACCGACGTGCTATTAATGCTTCTGCACCAACAGACTTGATGATAGCATGATCAACCTCGTATGCATCACACGTGAAGTGATCAGAACACAACCTGCTCCATTTTGTCGGTTGCCAGCCAACACGATTCACTAACAAAATCCATTTTTTGCGGATGATTTGGTCTTTGGGAAATACATGAAAAACTCTCCCAGATCCCGCACCGTTCGTACAACAAAAAGCACAACAATAACCCATGTTAATTCAGTTTTCTTGTCGAAAAACTTGTGACCGAGACTGCCGAGTCGGGATGTTTGGTCCAGAGACTGTTGGCATGTATGACGTCACGCGCGCGGAGGCTGCTGGGGAGGTCATGTCAGAAATTCAGACGGCTTTGGGTCAAGTTTTGTATCAATAAAAAGCTTTTTTTCGGGTGTATTATCTCGATTTAATTTTTTTTTAAATACAGGCAGTCTTAAAAACAACATTTCTATAAAAATGTAGCATATTTGGAAGCTTTGCATTTGATCTTTAAGTGAAGGTCATATTCTTTATAGATATTTATTTGAACTACTTTTAAAACTCGTGTTCTATGCCTGGTATGATCATAGATGAAGCCTATATAGTAGTATGATCAGTTTTGTTTGGAACCTACATAATGCAATGCACAGTTATACAAAAAGTGCCACTGCCACCCAGTGGTTGCAATGAATAACTACCAGTCCCATTTAAAAAAACGTTTTATTTTGAAAGTGTTGACAGGAAGTTTATGCTATTTGGTCGTTCAACTTGATAGTGCAGTTACCTGCTGTAACCTCCAGATGGCACACATCGTTCAACAGAACACATTTTGCACTGTTGTGTACAGTCCTCTGCCCTTTAGTTGGATGGCCATAGCACATTTCCCTGAAAAATCAACGTCATCTTTTACAACAGAAAATTAAGTTGTGACCAACCTCGAGTGATACAAGAGCTTAGTAAACTATTGTATTACTCTTTTCTGCTTTGATGTCTAATGTATTATGAGTTGTAATGCCCTCTGGTGGTCCCAGTGAGTAGCTACTCCTCGAGCGTCAAGTTAGACATAACATAACGATGCTTCCGTTGGACAAAATACAACATAACACGTTTTAGATACAATCCGTAACCATTAGAATAGCGATAAGGAGAGTGTAGGGTTTAAGCATAGCCTAGCTTACATCTAATATCGGCTTTGAATTCAATTTGTTTCTCCTAGACTGCGTTCAGTTTAACGTTATCACCACCGGAGACTCTCTTGGCAGTAGGTGACGCTGTGACTTTAGTTAGCCAACAATATTGATGCAGAGAGGAAGAAGAAGAAGCCGTCATGGTTCTATCGGATAGCTTTTGAGCCGGCTAATGTAATTTGTTGTTAAAATTGCATCTCTTAGACTAACTACGACCCGTTGTATGGGACCGAATAAAAATGTGAGTCACATTTAATTAAATAAGCATGCCAAATAATGTTAATTCAGTGTCATTAATGGGTTTGACACCGTCAACTAGCTAAAGTGACTAACAGCCACATATGTAGCTTTAGCCGCATTTGTTGTCGTTAGCCTAGCAGTTTTTGTCCAGTGTGTAATCATGGATATATTTGGAGTGTGCAGTTTAGTCTGTAACTTTAGTATTGTTTGCCTTGCTAAGTCCTTAGTTTGTGCGATTTGGGGTCGCTACAATTTAATTGATGTTAGCCCTAACCGTTAAGTTGCTTCAACTAGGGTTATTATTACACTTTTATTAACGTTGTTACGTTTGCTAATCTTGTGTTCCTTGATGTTTTTCTCACACACAGAATCCTTCAAGCTAAGTAATGTCACCCGCTTGACCTGCAGTGAATCTGGCTTTGCTTTGTGCTTGTTGGTCAAGATGAATCGTGCAAAGGCAACAACTCTCAGGCGCCCCAGTGCTGCAAAACCATCAGGTACTCCAGTGCAATATTAGTGTTTCTCTACAAACATTACCTTCTTTTCCATGATGGGAGTTTTTGCTTGTACGCTGCAAGAGTCTAATGGCACTATATTTTGTATGCTGTACAGATTGTAAATCCCCCTTAAGATAATATGTTAACTTATTTTGGGCTCTATAAATAAGTTTGATTGATGATTTATATGAGAAACATTTCCCTAGATTTGGCAGATTTTGTAATATTAGCGTCTGCATTACATAATGCTTTTCAAAATGTACTAGACCAGTGAATCTCAACCTTTTTACACCAAGTACCACCTGATAAAATAGTTGGCTCTCCAAGTATCACCATATGACCAATGTTAAAATACAGTCTATGCACAGTTCATGCAGGACTCGGAGGCAAATGTATTCTTATTGTCAGCCACAGCTGACAAAGGGCAGTCTCTCTCTCTCTCTCTCTCTCTCTCTCTCTCTCTCTCTCTCTCTCTCTCTCTCTCTCTCTCTCTCTCTCTCTCTCTCTCTCTCTCCTCTCTCTCTCTCTCTCTCCTCTCTCTCTCTCTCTCTCTCTCTCTCTCACACACACACACCACAAGTGAGAACATAAAGAACAAAACTTATTCTCACACAACAAATGACAACTGTACACACATGTCATTTCCTATACCAAAGTGTGAATGTAGGCCTCCTGCAACAACCTACATTGTAACAGAAAATGTGGGAATTCAGTTCCACAATAATAATGAAGCCTCCAGGAGCAGATGAGCCTAAGGGCTAATAGCTCATCTTCAGTCTGCTGATGTTTGCTATTGCCATTTCTGTGGTGGCAAAGTAAAAAAGAAAAGAAAAAAGATAACAATTAAGGACAAGTGTGTGCTTTTTCAGCGTTTGACCTCGGTCACAGCCTTCTCTCCATTCTTTGCGCAAATGCCTTCTTCCTGAGTCACTTCTCTCCTCCATCACAGCGGCTGTGCATCACTTTTGCGTTGCTTGCGGAGCCTGCGCTTGTGCTCGGTTGATGACCTCCTCCTCATTCACTTGTTCACTTTCGCTGGTAATATTCTCCTCTGTACCCCCTCCCACCCTGGACACAAACTGTTCACCCCCTGAACAGTTTCTTCCCCTCCGCTACCGGCCTCTTAAACAAGGCCCGGCCCCCCACTGGCACTTTACCTTTGCCACATCTCTACATTACATTAATGCATACAATGTTCATACTCCTTTCTGCACATATTCTTATTTCACATTTCATAGTTTATATTCTAAAATTCATCCATAGCATTCTATTTACATTTAAATTACTGCTTTATTTAATTTGTATTGCTATTTAACTGTATTTTATTATGGTGTAAAAGATTTTTAGTTTTATATATTTTATGTATGCGCCGTGACATCAAGTCAAATTCCTAGTAGGTGCGAACCTACCTGGCAATAAACCTGTTTCTGATTCTGATTCTTCTGAATACCTCCCGTTTTGAGCCATGTTTTTAACATCATTCTTCTTTCTTTAGCTTACGTGCAACGTTCGCTAATCGTTCACGGGTAGTATGGTCTTAATTAGCAACGCTAATATGCTTTAAATTTGTTTCTAAATCTAACAACAACAATAGCCAATTAGAACTTATTTAAACCACAGTTTCAATTATCTCAAGCTTATGTTCATTCGTTGTAGTATTTTGATAGTATGATTTATTTTTTAATTAATGTTATTCAATCAAGCCTCGAACTGATGGCACTTGTCCCTATAGCCTGTTTTAAATGGAAGTTGTCTGAAGTCCTTACCACCAGCTGCTCTCGCAGTAATAAGTAGTGCACCTTTCTTACTGTCCTAAATGTGCACAATGCAGTGACTGCTTTTCGTCTTTTGTTTACTTAGTTGTGTTTTCTGTATTTTTTACGTCTGTGTTATGTGTAAGAACCGTTGCTGCCTTCTTGGCCAGGTCAGCGTTGTAAATGAGATGTTGTCTCAATGTTTTCATCTGGTTAAATAAAATGTAAAAAAAAAATATATATATATTTAAAATAAAAAATAAATAATATTTCAGATTCTTCTGCGTACCACTAGCGGGAGAGAACCACTGTACTAGACTATTATATTGCCTTTAACCACTTTATATTTATATATCTGAATTACTGATGATTATTTAGCAAACAATATTATTGTGTAATATTTTGTAAAAGCCTCCCTTTCAATATAATTGCAATATTTTTCCAAAATATCATGATATTTAATTCAAATGCACATCCCTGCCTGACTTTGATATCTGCTTCCCCCAGGTCACCCTCCACCAGGAGACTTCATTGCTCTCGGTTCGAAAAACCAGAGTGGAGACCCTAAACCCCCCGCTGTCCTGCTGAAGCCAGCATCCACAAGTTCAACTGCTGACCGTAAGAGAGAGACTTCCTCCGCTCTGCCGTCTGCAGGTCTATCTGGACTCACCAAGCGACCCAAACTATCCACCACCCCCCCAGTCAGTGCTCTCGGACGACTTGCTGATGTTGCTGCTGTGGACAAGAGGGCGATATCACCCTCAATAAAGGAGCCATCAGTGGTGCCTATTGAAGGTATTTTTTACTAAAGCCTCACACAAATGGAAACACAATGTTTATTCTACACCAGGGGTGCCCACACTTTTTTGGCTGGTGAGCTACTTTTGAAATGACCAGCTCACAGAGGTCTACCAACCAAAAATAAAATCCCAAATTGCAAGGGTTGCTGAATAACACGTTTTATTTATACATGGATAATAGGGCTGCAGCAAACGACTAATTTGATAATCGTTTAATCTATTGATTAATGAAACGATTAATCGACTATTCGGACTATTAATGTATGGCTTGCACAATTTCTCAAACGCTCTTATTTAGCCATCAACTTTTAGATTTAGCTTGAGGTTGTTTTAGGCATGTGTAAACTAGCAATGAAGACAATAAAGATGAATACTTGATTCAAAAATACATATATTATTAAATTAACTTAACATATTGTTTACAAAACTAACATTGTTTTTTATTTAAATTAAATAAATAATATTTCACATCAAAAGAAACAACAATGTTTTAACAAATCGTATTAAATAATCTGATGACAGAACTGTGAACAGAATAGCTGAAACTTTAACAAAATAAAGAGTAACTCAGTTACCTCTAATCATTAACCCATGTTTGTATCATTGAGTTAACTCCGTGTGTTGCTGCTAGCATACATAACACCTGACGTGGAAACGTTACTCGTGGATGGGGCTACAGAGCTGCTAGAAAGACAGTCGAACCCGGTACATTCCTCCGTCTGCATGTGGTGCACTTTTGCTAAATGTTTGACACATTGCTCGTGTTACCGCCCTCACATGCTGAACTCTCTTAGCAAGGAGCATTGTCCACCTCAAGACGGGTAACATTTAACCCACACCTTGGAGCGCTTCTCTCCGCCATCTCCTCCGTGTGTTGCTGCATGAAGCAGAGCGTGTGTGTAAACTGCCCCGCCCCCTCGCGCACAGACCGGGGAGAGAGATCTCGTCTGGATTGGAAAGATCAAAAATACACCGACCATAGACGCATTTGTTTGTCTTTGTGCATGTTAGAAACGAGTTGGCGACACTAAGACTGCGAGATAATGTTTGTGTAGCAATAATACATGACCTTTCTCTTTCTCAACTCGCTACTCGGAGGGAAGTCGCTGTCATATGCCCTGTGAACACTCCGATAATGCCTCTCCACGTTACCTTTCTTTGGCAGAGCGACGCTTGCTTTACAAATAAGGCAAATAACCTTTGAATGTGACATCACAAACAAATATTCTTCCTCCCATTCTGGGTGGAAGTGGTTTGTCTTTAGCTTCTTGCTCGGTCCCGCACTCATTCTGTTGTTTGTCTCTTTAACTTAATTTGAGTTTTCCCGGCACTTGACTGATTTTGTATCGCTTTGCATTCTGGGTTAACAGACTGGAAAGCGATAGGTCGCTTTTTCTGTCAATCAAGTAAACTCCTGAATTAAGTGACAGGGAGACCAAGGGAGGAGGGATCAAAACCTGTTTTGTCTATTTTAACGGAGCTGGATTTTTTTTTTATGAATGACTCGCGATCTACCAGCATTGCCCCCGCGGTCGACCGGTCGACACGTACTGTTCTACACTGTCAAAGAAGCAAAGATAGTTTAAACTCTATTTTTGTATTGTAGTGTCACCATCTCTGCTTCTTGATGAGATTGAAGCTGCAGAGTCTGAGGGTAATGATGATCACATCGAGGGACTGCTGTGTGGAGCGGTCAAACAGCTCAAATTGAACCGAGCAAAACCTGACATAACGCTGTACCTCAGTCTCATGTTCCTGGCCAAAATCAAGCCCAACGTTTTTGCTACCGAAGGAATTATTGAGGTAAGATTTCTCACTGATACTGTGTTAGTCTCACAAATAAACACCCTCCTAAAGTGAATGTTGAAATTTGACTTTCCACCTGTCTGACTCTTGTCTCAGGCTTTGTGCAGCCTCCTGCGTCGAGATGCTTCTATCAACTTTAAAGCGAAGGGGAACAGTCTGGTGTCTGTTCTTGCTTCCAATCTGCTGATGGCAGCCTACGAGGAGGACGAGAACTGGCCAGAGATCTTTGTAAAAGTGAGAAAGAAACACTTGAACCTGCTTATAACTTGGTTTTATCTTAGCCATTTTGTGCAGTTTATTCATATGTAATGTCATTTCAGGTGTACATTGAGGACTCTCTGGGGGAAAGAATCTGGGTTGACAGTTCTCACTGCAAGACTTTTGTTGACAACATCCAGACTGCTTTTGGGACAAAGATGCCTCCCAAGAGTATGCTGCTGCAGGCTGACACAGGCCGCTCTGCTGGAGATCTCAGTGCAGGTACACTGAGAAAACACACTGGCTCGTTTGGTTGACGCAGTGAACAAGTGCTGTAAATTAAGCTCCTTTTTACATTGTGTCTTTAGGTAGCAGCCCTCATCCCTCAACCCCTGATGAGGACGACTGCCAGACTGAACTGCTGATAGCTGAGGAGAAACTCAGCCCTGAGGATGAAGGGCTGATCATGCCGAGGTACGAAACAATTTGCGTGTGTAGATACAATTCCACAATTATATTGAATAAGATTTAGATATTTTATAAATGTATTACAACTTATTTCTTAAGATTTTTGCAAAACATTTTCTCATTTCCTCCACCATTTTGTCTTCCCCTCTGGTGTTCTGTAGGTATGAAGAACTGTCAGAGAGTGTGGAGGACTACGTGCTGGAGGTCCTTAAGGATCAGCTGAACCGCAGGCAGCCGATGGACAACGTGTCCCGGAACCTGCTGCGTCTGCTCACTGCCACCTGTGGCTACAAAGAGGCACGGCTCATGGCTGTACAGAGACTGGAGATGTGGCTGCAGAACCCAAAGGTGAGTAACAAATCCTGAATACCACTTGTTAGTCTGCATAATCCACTATCTTATTGGCAGTATTATACACCTGTAGTAAAATACTTCATTTGGTGACCTAGATACACGGTCAAATTAAATGACAACATCTGTATAATTGTCACGTTTCTTTTGTTTATGTGAAATCATGAATATGTAGATTGATGTCAATAACCATAATGAATAAAGCTCTTTTTCTTTATTGTTGTGTGTGCACAGCTGACTCGCCCTGCCCAGGACCTCCTCATGTCTCTGTGCATGAACAGCATCACCCAGGGAGCAGATGACATGGAAGTGATCTCTAACCTGATCAAGATCCGACTCAAACCCAAAGTCCTCCTCAACCACTACATGCTGTGTGTCAGGTCTGCAGACTCTTGTTTGTACTTGTTGCTACACACAGTGACTTAAGACCCTTTCCCACTGCACAATTATTCAACTTATTTTAGATACAAGACGTGCACTTGATATGCTTTCCTCAAAGCCACCATTGACAGATACAGTAATTGTTCCTCACTGGTTATTTTAAAACATTCAAAGATACAACTTATTACAGGTGTGTTTGTTAGTCTTCTCACTAGTCCAACAATCACTACTTTAGGGTTGAGAGTTTTCAAGAGCAACTAAATAGGTAACATATATTAAAAAGAGTTACCTCTCTAAAATATCCGCTGTTTACTTATCTAGCTTTGTGGGACACACCAGAAAAAAATAAAAGTTGAAAATGTTTCTTTTGCCTATTTTTAGCACTTTTTCCAATGTTTAAGAAAACGTCCATATACTGCTCTGAAAACAATTAAGAGACCTTTTAAGAGGTCTTTAATCTTAATCTCTACATGTATGGCAACCATTCCATTCCAGTGTCTGTTGAATTCCAACTCAGAGAAATGTTTTCAGCAGTTTATAGAATAAAATAACACATATCTATAAATAGTAAAAGCAGAGAAACTGATCATTTTGCAGTGGTCTCTTCAGTTTTTCCAGAGCTGTATGTGCTACGCTTGGTGGAAAAGGGTCGTTTACTAACTGGTGTTTTGATGTTTCTTTTCCAGGGAGCTGCTTAATGCTAACAGAGACAACCTGGCCACGATGGTGAAGCTGGTGATCTTCAACGAGCTGTCCAATGCCAGGAACCCTAACAACATGCAAGTCCTGCACACAGTGCTGCAGCACAGCCCCGAGCAGGCTCCAAAGGTCACTCGAAACGTTCAAATAGTTGGAACAGATAGCAGTTTGGAAATGGTTTTAATAGTAGTATTATAAGTCTTTACAAATGCAATAGTTTCTCTAAATCAACATTCCCCTTGTCTTCCATTGCGTCTGTAGTTCCTAGCGCTGGTGTTTCAGGACCTGCTCACCAATAAGGATGATTACCTGCGTGCCTCCAGAGCCTTGCTGAGAGAGATCATCAAACAGACCAAGCATGAGATTAACTTCGGGGCCTTCTGCTTCGGATTAATGCAGGAGAGAAAGGAGACTATCTATTTGGAACTGGAATTCAAAGTATGTGTTTCTTAAAATCATTTGAGCTTTACTCTTCATGCAGTTGCTCTGAAGCTGTGAATGACCGGCTTTGTCTCTCCCATAGGAGCGTTTTGTTATCCAGGTGACAGACTTACTGACTGTCTCCATGATGCTGGGCATCACTGCTCAGGTCAAAGAATCTGGCCTTGCATGGGACAAAGGGGAGAAGAAGAGTGAGTGCTTTATATTTGTTGTTTTGATGCAATTTGTTTTTGTGCAATCATTAGCATTTTTGCACTTACATTTTCCTTGTTTTAAAGTAAATTGATTGTTTTTAAATGGATTTTTGGTAAGGTCTTGTGGTGACCTTCTTGTGTGACATAAGTAGGTAACTTTGTGTCTAAGGGTGCATTCACACCTAATAGTCCGCTCTCTGGTGCAACAGTTTGTTACATTGTTTCATTTTCAAGGTTCAGTTTGTGTTCAAACGGACTATAAACTTTAAACACAAGTCATGTGCTCGGAAATGCTGTTCAACCATTGGTCAGACATTAAGGGGGTAAACACGCAAATCCCGGCAATTTCTACCGGAGCCTCCGCCATGGAGCATCGGCAGGTTATTTTCATGCTGTTGTTAATCTGGAGAGCATATCAACAGCAACAGCGCATATGATTACATAATCAGACAACGTGCGATACAAAACATTATAACACATATCATGAGACGTTCTGCAGTAAGGAGGGGGTTTCACCGACGACAGGTGGCTCTGACTTTTATGTATAGCTTTTAGTTTTATAGTTGTTTTTACTTTACACGACACTGTTCAACCTGTGTTCAACACATCACTCTGCTTCACTCTTTCACTAAAGAAATGAAGACACCCGCGTTCTTATGACACGTAAATACTAGCTTCCTATGTTTTGGTGCGGACTGCGTTCACACCAGCGATGAACCGCTCCAGAGTTCACTAGCAAGCGGTCCGAGACCACCTCTTTTAGCGGACCAGAGTCCGGTTGTTTAGTTCACTTAAGAGGTCTCGGATTGTGTTCACACCGACCCAAACGAACCGCACCAAGCGGCTAAACGCACCAGGGTTAGATTCAACCGGACTATACAAGGCTGGTGTGAACGCGCCCTTAAAAATGGTGGTTGAAGTGGCTAAATATGAGTGCACAGGTTTTCAGGGAAAACAAACACCTGTCCGCCTTTCATTTGAACTAATGACTAGGGTTGCAAAATTCCGGGAATTTTCAAAGATGGAAACTTTCCACGGGAATAAATGGGAATTTCTGGGAATAAACTGGGAATTTTCAAAATTGAAGGTTGGCTCTTCATAGGGAACTTAAATGTAGTTAGGGAAAGTATATTTTAGCATAATCTTGACTAAAACAAACAGATGCCATTCAAGTACACTTATAGCACACTGCTTACTGCATGGCTATTGAGACCACAACCCCTCCATTCCTCCATCACATGCACAGATGAGTAATATTTAACTCAACATTCCTATTTTCGTTCTTCAATTAAACAAATAATTGTTCAATAAAATAATTAAAAGTTGTTCTGTTCTACTTTAAAAAGAAAAAAAGGTCTGTTGAAAAGTCATGTTTTTTGTTTAATTTTGCATCGAATATTTCCAAAATTCCCCAGCTTAACTTCCCATGGAAAGTTTCCGGAAATGTACCGGAAACTTTCCGCCCCTTTGCAACCCTACTAATGACACTGTGGTTTAGTTTGTTTAAACTTTAAAGCAAGGTTTTCACTTTTGGTGATTGTCCTTTTTAATTTGAAAAATCCCAAAAGTTATTTTGCTGAACAAAACATGTTTGTATCATTAACTATAGTTTGCCATAGAGCTTTGCAATAATCCAAATTCCAAGTGATTATTTCAAAGGAACCAGGGTGATGCTAACCTTCGGCTTGGGTTTTATTAATAAATCATCCCTGCTCCATACTGTATGCTGGATTAGCTTTGGTTTGAATGTGTGTCTGTTTGTTTCAGATCTGGAGAGCCTGAGGGCGTTTCAGAATCAGATCGCTTCCATCCAGAGAGACGCTGTGTGGTGGCTTCACACCGTGGTTCCCTCCATCAGCAAAACTGGCGCTAAAGACTACGTTCACTGGTCAGTCACTCTATGTGCTGATGTGATTATTGTTAAACTGCACAAGCTTATCATATTTCTTGCTGCTTTATATGAGACTTCTCTCTTTATGTCCGCAGCCTCCACAAAGTGCTGTTCACAGAGCAACCTGAGACATACTACAAGTGGGACAACTGGCCTCCGGAGGGTGACAGAAAGTGAGTTTCCCCCAATATTTAGATTGATTCTTATGCAGTGTCACATATTACTTGTACTTATATACAGATAAAATGTGATTGATAGATTATTTTATTGTTTCCACAGTTTCTTCCTGCGCCTCTGCTCTGAGGTGCCTCTGCTGGAGGACACACTGATGCGCATCCTGGTGATCGGGCTGTCACGTGACTTGCCGCTGGGCCCAGCAGATGCCATGGAGCTGGCGGATCACCTGGTTAAAAGGGCTGCTGGAAGTCAGTCTGATGGTGTGTGAAGGTCCACTTAGGCTGTATCTGTAAACGGTCAAAGTCAAAGCTGTGTATTACTCCCTGGCAGAATATTTGGACATTTGGTAAACACTTGTGGTTCTGTTTAATCAGCAGGCAACCCAAATCTTTCTTAAAGCCAACTTCTTATTTACATATTATCCTCACAAGTTGCAAGAAGAATGTTAGGGAGGTACGAACAAAGGAAATATGGTTTTGGATGTAATTGTTTTTTGAATAATAGAGCTATTTGATTATCCCTTTTAAAGTAGATTTGGAGGTCCTGAAGGTGGAAAGGATCCAGCTCATTGATGCTGTGCTGAATCTGTGTACATACCACCATCCGGAGAACATCCAGCTGCCTGCAGGGTACTACAACCTTCTTATAAAAACACTTTGGGGTCATACAGTTTACAGTCTAAAATAACAAATCATTTTTATTGTTTAAGGTACCAAGCTCCCAATTTGGCCATATCTGCGTTGTATTGGAAGGCATGGCTGCTAATTCTCGTGGTGGCAGCTTTTAATCCTCAGAAAATAGGTACAGCACACCTTTTTACATGTTGCATACATACAAATAGCTATTTCTAACTATTAAATGTTCTTTATTAATATTATCTGATGTTGTTTTGCTTTAGGTCTGGCTTCCTGGGACGGCTACCCTACACTGAAAATGCTCATGGAGATGGTTATGACAAAGTAGGTGTTCATTTTGTATAGAATAGTTCTGGATAACACATTCAAACAACTCACACATCTCTCTCTGGTATCTCCTCCACAGTAACTATACCTACCCTCCCTGTACCGTTGCGGACGAGGACACGAAGACGGAGATGATCAACAGGGAGCTGCAGATCTCCCAGAGAGAGAAACAGGAGATCCTGGCCTTTGAGAGCCACCTGGCAGCAGCCTCCACCAAACAGACCATCACAGAGAGCAACAGCTTGCTCCTGTCTCAGCTTACCAGTCTGGATCCACAGTAAGAGAGCAAGGGGAATTACGTCATGCACCTAGTTTATGGTATTCGTAAAGAAAAGGCCTCGAGGACAGTAATTATACCATCCTACTCTTTAAGACAGGGGTGTCAAACTCAAGGCCCGGGGGCCAAATCCGGCCCGCGACTTCATGTTATGTGGCCCCGCAAGAGCTTCCAAGGAATATAATACGTTTATTATACGGTTACATGCCGCTTTACAGAAGCACGTTGCCCATAAACTACATGTCCCACAATGCATCTAGTTTTGTGACATGCGCACTGAAGAGACTTGCCATTATTTGCCCTAGACTTCTGCTTTCAGACATAGTTAATTATGAAGTTATTACCCTATCCCATAATAATCCAATTCAGAGGAAATAATGTATTTATATTTGTATATTTATATAGTCTTAAAAGTTACAACCGGCCCTTTGAGTGCAACCATAATGCTAATGTGGCCCGCGATGAAATTGAGTTTGACACCCCTGCTTTAAGACAAGTCAAACTCATTTGATTTGTACCAAAGTCAATATCACCAAATACAAATTACTTTACTATTTTCACAACACCCTCCCAAAAACACTTTATAGGGAAACAACATCAGGAAAAGCTACACAGGAAGGATCTGACTTTCTGAATAGACGACATGCATTAGGTCATGTGTGCACAGAATAATCAACCTAGTGAAATGACATAATAGGATGACAAAATGATACATCGCTATGTTGCTAAGCAGACACAACCACCATTAAGCCTCACAACGTCCACTTTGCCATGTAAGCTGGGAAGAGGATGGGCCAAACAAATGAAAAGAGTGAAAAAAGAGATGCTAATTCTCCTGATCTTTATCCAAAAATATAGCAGCTATAACCATGACAACATCTTATTGCTGTCAGACAATTATGTAAGATCTATTATTCAATGTAAGCTTTTAAGTATTGATAAACAAGTCTTATTGCTGTGTCTTTAAGACGGTTTTGTGTTTGTGTTCAGGGGTCCTCCTCGTCGACCTCCTCCTCAGATCCAGGAGCAGGTGAAAACCCTGAACCAGTCTCTGCGTCTCGGACATCTCCTCTGCCGCAGCCGCAACCCTGACTTCCTCCTCAACATCATCCAGAGACAGGTAATGGACAGGGACCGATACTACACACTACAGAACTGCCCAAACTGTAACACATCTCTGCTACTTATAGTACCAACAGATTGTCTCTATGTACGTCTTTCTCACAAAACAACTTTTAAAATAGGGATTGTTTCTCAAAAAGCTCATCATTTGCGAAACAGACTTGCTTTGGATTCAAATTGTTTTCAATCAATGTTGAACTTCAACTGGAGAAAACCTGTTGATGTTGAGTTATTTATTGTCAGCAAAAACATTGATGAAGATTAGTGTGAGCCTGACTTAAATAATACAACAAATCAACACATTATTCTTAGGCTTCAGTGTGTGTCTTATAACTGTTATCACTTTCCATCCCCCCCAGGCCTCCTCTCAGTCCATGCCGTGGCTGGCTGATCTGGTCCAGTCCAGTGAGGGCTCTCTGGACGTGCTTCCAGTGCAGTGCCTGTGTGAATTCCTTCTGCATGACGCAGCGGATGACAGTCTGCCAATAGAGGATGATGAAGAGGGAGAGAGCAAAGAGCAGAAAGCCAAGAAGAGACAAGTATGTTGATTACTACACCATACCATACTGTTGGCAGGCAGCAATTACTGAAAAACAACCCTGCTTGGACATCGTCTGAATTTGTTCTCAATAACTGGTCCTTATAAGTCTCAGAATGAAAATGCTAAATTTAAACTTGAGCTTTTTATTCTTGTGAGCAGCTCATTACTCACTCTTGCATAATCCTGAATTATCATCTGTCTTCCTGTTAGAGACAGCAAAAGCAAAGGCAGCTGCTTGGACGGCTCCAGGATCTTTTGTTGGGTCCTAAGGCCGACGAACAGACAACATGCGAAGTGCTGGACTACTTTCTGCGCCGCCTCAGCTCTTCTCAGGTGGCATCCAGAGTCCTAGCCATGAAGGTACCGTATTGGATCCAAATGAAAACTGCTTTAGAAGTATTGTGTTACTGTTGAACAGAATTATTTGACATGATATTCTTGTGCGTAGGGTTTGTCGTTGGTGCTGAGTGAAGGAGGCTTGAAAGATGGAGATGAGCGGGATCAGCCCATGGAAGAAGATTCTGCTGATGCTGAGCTGTTGCCGGGATACCAGTGGCTGCTACAGGACCTCCCAAAGCTCCCCTTGTTTGACAGCGTCAGAGGCATGACGTCCACCGCCCTGCAGCAGGTTGGTGATGACTTAACAACTGTCAATAACTGAATGTAAACCTTTAAGAAATGTTTTATAATAATGGAGTTTAACACTTGTCTTGTCTCTCTGCTTTCTTGAAGGCTATTCACATGGAGACTGATCCACAGACCATCAGTGCCTATCTCATATACCTATCCCAGCATGCACCAGTGGAGGAGCAGGCTTCTCATAACGATCTGGCTCTGGTAATCACTAAATCCATCACATCGTTTTTCTTTAAGCAGATGGATCTGACATTTCTTAATATGATGAATGAGACACCTATCCAGAGTTTCGAGATGCAGACAGGCGTATAGACAGGAACATTTTTGCAAAAGTAATAGATATTCAAACACCTAAAAACAAGGAACACCTAAAAAAGGAATACTTGTTTAAGCATACTCTATATTTGGAATCATTTCAATGCTTTCCTGTGCTGCCAGAAATCCCTTTTTGAAGAAGTGAAGTGTTCGTCCAAGCTTTCTTCTTTGACTAAAACTGAAATGTAACTTGGCAGAAAAACAGAATGCCTGGGGCCTCATTTATAACGCTGTGCGTAGGATTCACGTGGGAAGGTTGCTTACGTAGTAGAAATCCAAAAAATAGTTACAGAAATGTTCCGACATTTTCCGATTCACCAAACATTGCGCACCGGCGAGGAAAGTGCGTACAGCACTTCCTACGCCGGTTTCCCTTTATAAATCACAATCGACTCGAAATGCGGTGCAGCTTTTGCGGGCTTCACGTAACGCCCATATTTGCCTATAAATAGTCAAAGAAACGCCCATTCATTCATTCATTCTGACTGACTTTATGAAGAAGATCGCAGGAAATGACGACAGAACAGCTAAAAAATACATCTCACACCGTGTCAGATTTTGGTTATTTTGGGGAGGTGGAGATAAATCATATTGTTTGGTGGATGCAGTTTGAACCAGAGTAGCAGCATGGAGGTCGGATCGTCACCAAAATAAATAAATAAATGGCCCGAAAAAGGTTAATGACAAAAACAATACACATAGCCTTCCTCAGGCAGTGTGTTTGTACCGGGGACAGGAGACCCCCCTTGATGAGAGACTGTAAGAAGTGAACGGGGAATCCCCCCGGTGTGGAGTCATGACGACTGGATCTGAATTATGTTTTTGTATTTGGTGGTTTGTGTTCCAGCTGTCGTCCCTATATCCACCAGTTAAAGGAAATACAACTAATGTGTTGTGTTATATTAGCTGTAAAATTTACCACATATGGTGTTCTTAGTTTCCATACCTCCTGTGTTTTACGAGCGACTTATCAAGTCTTGGCATACGGCATAAAACACGATTAAACATGATAGTATATAAAACCATGCTCGTATCAACAACCTATAGAAATGCAACACGGCGTCAGTTTAAAGTAATTCTGTCCTCCTGCTTACCGCATCATTTATGAGAAAACATTTCATAACATTAACACAACATATTCGAGGTGGTTTTCAATAACATATCCGTATTTATTTATTTCTCCAAGTTATGTTTTTGTGTGCACTGAGGAGTCGCAAACAGGCGTTTGTTTAATCATTTTAAGATTGGCTTTAATCAATGTTTGAAAATGAATTCTTCATATATGATAAATGAGAGGTAACATTTTATTTATGGTATTATTTCCACATATTTCTCTCCATTCTTCCTTCTGCCAATGGTGTCGCAGTTAGTATTTTATAAATCGCAAACATTGCGTAGAAACTGGCGTACGCCATCTTTTGAGCGTATATCCCTTTATAAATGAGGCCCCTGGTCTGCATCTGCCTTATTAGATTTGTCTGTGTTTATAGTGTGACTTTGGTGAATTCAAAATGCCAAAGTGAGTTAGATCATACACTATTACCTCATACACTCAAACGGTCCCTTCTATGTGTTTTTTCTTTAATGGAGCAGTACTGACATGAATCATCTGTTCCTCTATCACTCTCTACAGGACGTCGCCCGGCTTATCGTGGAGCGTTCCACCATCATGAACAGCCTGTTCTCCAAGCATTCCTGCAGACCTGAGTCTAATGCTGTGCTCAGTGCCTTCCTCACCATCTTCTCCACATACATCAGGAGGATGAGGAAGACCAAAGAGGGCGAGGATCTCTACAGCTGGGTGAGCCTTAGCAAGAGTTTAGTTACTAATTGAGCCTAGTGACCCACATTTCTCTGTGATTATTTATTCATCTTGACAATGAGTGCAAGAATGTATCCTAGTTATCGATTAAAATGCAGAATATTCTAGATTATTGTTTTGTCAGTCCAAAACCCACTTTAATAAGAAGGGAAAAGGCTCTTTGACAGGCTGTAATCAGCATATTGTAACATTTCTGCACAAAAATTTACCTTAACCCTCTATGGCAGGGATGGGCAAATGGCGGCCCCCACCTCCTCTTATTGCGGCCCTCAGATGAATTAATAAACAATTTAATTAATTTAAAATATATATATATTTTCTTTTTTTATTGTTTTACTTGTAGTACTGATACCGTCCACTAGACTCCTAGTTACGTCGCGAGCTGCGTACATGATTTCAAATACCGCGAAATAATCTGTGATGCGTTTGTGTGTATTGTGTTTGTTTCCCGAGGAAACACTCCCAAGAAACACCGGCTGTTGTTATGCCTGCTGTGATGTTAAGTTGCCTCTTGTAATTATGCCGTTACAATCTAAAAAGTTGTATTTATCATCTGAATTTGGCGAAACAAGTTTAATATTCTAAAAACCAAGACTTTGTTTATTTGAAATCAGATGAAAACACACTGTCACGGACCCTGCCGTGTTATCTGATTACTATACGCTTTTCATTCATAATTTCAGCGGGAGGGAGGGGGGGGGGGGCGCTGAGGAACAGCAGAGTGCGGGTTGACAGGTGTCTGTGTTGACATTCCCCTTATTGTGGAATAAGGGGAATGCAGAGACTGGCTGCAAGTGTTCAAGTTAGACAACTAATGTCTGGGTTAGTGTTCATGACTTCATGTTTATGTCATCTTAATGGTTTATCTCAATACACACACATTTTCCGTGCTTTCCAATAGTTTAAAATAGTTTTATTCCACTGTTAAATAACCTGTTCAATACAAACATGCCACTTGTAAAAATGAAATAACATTTCTGTGAACTGATATTTGTTTAGTGAGCTTATTAGAGGGTGTTCCCTTTGATTGTAAAATGTCAATGAAGATGTCAGACTTAGTATATTTGTTAATAATTACATACAACACATGGAATTTGTGTGTGTGTGTGTGTTCCAAGTGAATCTGCGGCCCCCTGGTGGCCAGTACATCAGTTATGTGGCCCCCACCACCATCAAAGTTGCCCATCCCTGCTCTATGGCATGCCCTCAGGCAACAAACCACTTTTTTTCACAGCCACAAATACATACACACACATACACAAATACATACACACAGACACACACACCCACATGCACACACACACACACACACACACACACACACACACACACACACATACACACACACACACACACACACACACACACACACACACACACACACAGAAAACCTTTTGAATTCATAGAGTTGTTTTTTCTATTTCTTCTGAATGGTAGAAATCCTTGGTGTTTCGATACCCTCGTAGCACATTGTTGCCCTGAGGCAACAAACCAACCCCTGGTTGAGGGGTGTGGGGGGGTCACATTTTATAATTGATATAATATCAGGGACCCCTAAGCTCCTAAAACACATGGTGAAACATTTTTTTCCTCCCAAAATAAAAAGTCATGCCATAGAGGGTTAAAGATTATTTATATATAAAAATAGTTGCGTCTCTCTACTAGGCACTATGGGGTGACAAAATGTGCTTGACAAATGTTCTTTCTTCAGTCAGAGTCTCAGGACCAGGTGTTTCTGCGTTGGACTACAGGAGAGACCGCTACCATGCACATACTTGTAGTCCATGCCATGGTCATCCTGCTGACTCTGGGGCCCCCTAAAGGTAGTCATGTTCACTTTCCCGTTAATCGTTTGCAATGTTAAATGGGCTTTGCTAATGTGTTTACCATTGTGCATTTTACAGGAGAGAGTGATTTCTACGCTCTTTTGGACATTTGGTTTCCCGACAAGAAACCCCTTCCCACTGCCTTCCTGGTTGATACCTCAGAGGAAGCCCTTCTGCTGCCTGATTGGTTAAAACTGAGGATGATCCGATCAGAAGTCTCTCGATTGGTCGATGCAGGTACAACTTGCCATAGTGGACAAGAAAAGGTGTTGTTCACCATGTAAATAAATGAGTACTTCCTCACAAAAGCATACATGTGTCTCCCTCAGCTCTACATGACCTGGAGCCTCAGCAGCTGCTGCTGTTTGTTCAGTCCTTTGGCATCCCTGTGTCCAGCATGAGCAAACTGCTGCAGTACTTGGATCAGGCTGTCTCTCATGACACTCCCACGCTGGAGGAGAACATCATGGACAAGCGTAAGAGTGCTGCAGATACCTCACGTTTAAAATTGTTAAAGATTTTGTAGATATTAAGACTTATTTACTTATACTTATATCATCTTGTATTTAACCTCCAATAGACTACATGGCCCACCTGGTTGAAGTGCAGCATGAGCGAGGGGCCACTGGGGGGCACACGTTCCATTCCTTACTGAGCTCCTCTCTTCCACCAGACAGAGGTTGGTGAACTCCCAATGATTGTGTATGAGCTCGTTTTATTTTATGACATCGACAGAAGTTTTACATATTTTACTGTCGCTCGTAGTGAAGGTAGTTTTACGTACAATAATCTAAATATGTTTAACAATATAAAAAATGTTTATACTTGAACAAATTATTTGATTTGATAGGGCTTTAAATGCCAAGTGTCTGACCAGGAAATGTTAAAAAATAATTGTATGACTCCATGTCCTGACTATGTCTGTCCTGATAGATGCTGCCGAAACAAGTAAGGCCAAAGTTACCGTGGAAACGCCGCACAGCTCTGTGAAGATGAGAGCAGCCAGTCAGCTTCCTGCAGTCGGGCCTGATGACGATCTCACTGGCATGATGCTTCAGGTGGGATGTACAAGCTGTTTTATTAAATGTCTCTGCAATATGATATTATTTATCATTTTTGGATAACATGTGCATGAAAGACAATTTTGTGGCTAAATCTCAGATGTTATTGTTGTTAAAAAAACAAACACACTATAGCAATAGTGTATCCTCATGATTTCTTCCAAGCTGTTGAGTCTCTTTTTTGTCAAACTGACCTGTTTCTGTTTCCCTCGCTCTTAAAGATATTCCCTATGAAAGTGGACCCTCGCTGGCACGGCCCCCCTCCCAGCCAGCTCTCCCTGGCCTTGCAGCAGGCCCTTGCTAAAGAGCTGATGCGGGCCAAGCAGGGCCAGATCCAGCAGGGAGGGCTGGCTTTCCGGCTCCTACAAGCCATTGCAGCCCTGCTCACCTCTGCTCATGCAGGGCCCATTGTCCTGTCAATGCACCACAGCCATGCCCTCTCCTGCCCTCTCATGCGCCAACTGCACCTCTACCAGGTAAGGCTTGCTTACAATCAGCATATCATTCCATTTTCAGTAATAAAAGGTTGGAATATAACATTTATTTTCTTGTTTCTTCCAGCGACTCGTGTCCCAGGACGTGGCTTTCTCCTCATTATTCCTCAAGGTCATTCTAGAGATGTTGATCTGGTTGGACAACCCAACTGTGGAGGCGGGGCCGCTGAAGACTCTGCTCAAATCCTTCGCTGGTCAGAACTCAAGCAAACAGAGGCACAATGATGGTGAGCCCCTCAACGCTTCATCTTTCAAAAATGTTGAAAAAATAAATGTATATAATCAGAGAGTGACAAGTGTCTGTGCCCTGCAGTGCGTACAGGTTTCCTCCAACTATCTGAGGCTTTGGCATATCGCAGAGACATTGAAGGGCCACTGAGAGCCGTCATTGCAATGCTGAAAGCTGGAGACCGATGTAATGCAGAAGCTGAGCTCATTGGGAAAGGTATTCATGTGTTTTCACTTATCATCATATTAAGTGTTTCAAACATTTGTGAAATAATGAGTGGCTTTAACAAGTGTTAATTTATTACAGTGTTGATTAATGAAGTGAAAAGTATTTTATTTTTAGTAAAGATGTCAACAGTTTTGTATAATTGTTTATTTTTCACTGACCTCTTAAATAGAATATATCCATTATTGTTTTTTTTAATACAGGAAAAGTTCTAAAATTCCCCTTTTTTTATATATATATTTATAAAGTATTTTGACAACACAAATTCAACTTTGACAAACGAAAAGTGCTTTTACTATAACAAAAAAAAGAAAGAAAACAAGCAGAATAAAAAAAATAAAAAAAAGCAGTAGCTAATAATTGTTCACATTTTAATATTTGATAGCCCAGGTGAATGTAATCAAAAACGAACGTTTGGGTTTAGTTACATAACGATGGATAATGGGCTGTCCAAACTTAGAATGTTCTAAAAAAAAGTATATATATATTTTCCAGTGTTACAAGGTCTGATGGAGGTGAGGTCGCCGTTTTTGGAGGAGCTGCTGTCTCTGTTGATGACTGTTGGTACACAGAACGGGACGGCCGGCCCTGTTGCCATGGTGATCTCCTTGCTGCTTCAGGAGAGTGAGGAGCAAGCAGTGAAAATGGAAGTGGATTCTAACAAGTGAGCACGGCATATTCTATTTCCCTTTCAAGTCATGCAAGCAACATTCATATGTGACAGGACTAAATGACCAACGCCTGTGACAGAAGAAATAGCAAAGCAGGCGCTCGCTGTCTGTGGCTGTGTACTTCGGGAAAAAATGCTATTTGATTTGGTTCGGAAAGGTTTAATTGGTTTTGCAGCTTTACAGATTCAGGAGCTGTGAAAATCAAAGAACACGTTACAGAATCACTGCCTCTGAGGCAGGTACATACTCAGAGTTTGCTCAGACGCTCAGACTCCAAGACTCCAAGGTCTCTTCCAAGCAGTTAAAGTAGAGGGAGATAGAGATCTTATTTGTATTGCTAGAAAAGACTGTCTTGCTTGTGTCAGTTTACTACCGTGTATAGCATTTGGTATTGCCAAGACAGATTTCATATGACAAATGTAATGACAAAATGTAAAATTTGTTTGTTGAACCAAAAGTTGGGACATCATGCATTAGATCTTTAGCTCGGCTTTATTCTGGATATAAGAGGATACAAGATTTAATTGCAGGTCGGGATAAAAAAACATTCACAATAAGTTGATTGCGGTTCATTTCTATTATCAGGATATTTGTGAAAATCCTTGTATTGCGACTTAGAAAAGATGTTCAAGTGGCCGCTATGCATTAAAAAATAGAAAAAACAGACTTGCGCAATTGTTCTATTTTTGTAATGTATACAAGGGACCTTATTAATTGTGATAAGCTTATTTAGGTCTATTAGATTAAAATTGTTTACAAAAAAGGATTTAAAAAAAGTGTTTCCTGTGTGAAGCGATACGAAGATATGTTTTTCAACAAAATGTTTGGGAAAGGAATTCCAGTTTAAAAGCAAGTTTTAAGCATATTTTGATGATTGGGAAACACTATTATTGTGGCCAGTCCAATGCCTCATTCTGGATGTATTGCACATTATCTTATTGAGGGTTTTATTAAGAAATAAAATATGTATTCAATCACATCTGACTCCATAGAGGTAACCTTTGAGTTTCACTTTTGCCAGCAGCTCCGAAGTGACAAAGTCTGGACTGAGCTCTGGGCTGTTGGTTGATTGGCTGGAGCATCTCGACCCTGAGGTCACCTCCGTGTGCCCGGACCTTCAACAGAAGCTGCTGTTTGCCCTCAACAGGGTAAGATAAGCCTCGCCTGCAGATAATGTACTTCCCCTGCCTTATCACACTGGACTGAGTGTCTGCTTGGCGTTCCTGATTCATGCTTTCTCACTTGTTCTCTATTCCAGGCAAGAGGAACCCCTGCCTACAGACCTTATCTCCTGGCTTTGCTTACACATCAGTCAAACTGGTCCACCCTCCTTCAGTGTATCGGCGCTCTTCTCAGCAAACGCAGGGACTACAAGTACAGACATTTCTTTAAAGGGGCCCTATTATGCTTTTCAGGCTTTTCCCTTTACCGTAATGTGTTATAAAGGTTTTGGTGCATGTAAATGGTCTGCAAAGGCTAAAATCCCAAATTCACGCCAGAAGAAGATTTCTACATTACACTTGCTCTTCTATTGGCTTGCACTACAAAACATTGTACATAATAGGCTAAGGGGAGGGATCTCTAAGTGGTAGACCAATCACAACAGAGCCGGCCAGCTAACCAATCAGAGCAGACTGGGCTCTGGTTTCAGACAGAGGGTGAAAAGAGGTGCTGCAGCACAGGCAGTATGAGAAAAAGAATGACCTTTTTCAACATTAAAGCACGGAGACATGTACGCACAAAATACAATTATGAAACCTGACATTGAGCATAATTGGGCCCTCTATCTGCCATAGCTTTGTTTAAACTGATGTATTTGTAATGTGTTGTTTGTTTCAGTGAGAGCTTATCCTTAGTGTCTTTCTGTGTAACGTTGTTAGGCTTGACCCATCATCCGCCCTGGATTTCCTGTGGGCATGCAGCCACATCCCGCGTATCTGGCAAGGACGTGACCAGAAGATCCCTCAAGTAAGATCCAAATTCCTCACGAAAAGTTATTTTACACTTGCTTTCCCCTGCATTTCTAAGGAGACCAAAGTCAGAGAGAGTTGACTCTGCTGCAGCAGATCACAGACGTATTGTTCTTTGTATCTCTGCAGAAGAAAACAGAGAAGTTTGTGCTGCGCCTCAGTTCTGAGGAGCTCATCAGCCTGGTGGACCTGATCCTGGCCGAGTCGGAGCTGAACACTCGCGACTCACCTCAAGATGACAAAAGCAGCTTGAACCAAGCCTCCTGCTCCCTCATCCAATCCAGGCTGCCCCTCCTACACTCCTACTGCAGCGGAGAGCTAGAAAACATCAAGAAGGTCTCAGAGTACCTCATTAACTGCACCAAGAAATATGAGGACAGGTAAGGAGTATATCACCTGTCATTTAGTGTGTTTATTGTTTCAATGCTGATCTTCTAGTCTTACATTTGTAACTATATTTAAAGACACATGCTCATCACATTGTGTCACCTTCACCAAAGTACTTGGCTCATACATTTGGACACATTGTTTTGTTCTTTCTAATTAACCCAAACACAGAAAGTCAGCTGATAAACTTGGGGTAAATCACACTAGATGTTCCTTCCCGCTGCAGATGAACTTTTCAGACATCCTCTGTCAGCCACAATGCTGCGGAGCAGGGGAAACTCAATAATTAGGTCTATTGGTGTGAAATTAAAACCAGCAGAAGTCGTCTGTACTGTGATCTCTTTAAAAGCTCAGTGTATTATAATGAAGCCAAGAGGATTAAGGCTGAAGCTCTAAACTTGCCTGTGTTGTGAATTCCTGCTCTGCCTTAGCTGTCAGAGATCAGGGTGCAACTCTTTGTGGAGGCAAACCCTCCTTTCATGAATATGTCTGTGGTTATTAAACCACTTTAATGAGGAAACTTTGGCCAAGGTCAAGCAAAATGAGCTTCCGAATTACAGTATTTTAAGTACAGCTAAGCTGTCTGTTAAAAATGGTTGCTTGCAGAAACATAGCAGGATAAAAACATGTTGAAAGTAAGGGTTTTGGCCTTGTGTGGAATACACACTTGAGTCTATGTTGAGCATTCTTCTTGGGAAACCTCGCTGTCAGATAAGCTGCTGTTTATTCCAATTACACACCAACTATTGAACAACAGGCGGACTCTTTACTCTTGGTCAAGGTCGTCCTGATTTGCTTAATTCATAGCGTGTATTACACACTTCATTTAGTATAGAGTACATCATCTGAGCCCGACAAGAGCCTTAAAGGATTTTATAAAACCACAGAGACTTCAAGGCAAATGCCCCAGAATTACATTACGCTATTCATGTGCCTAGTTTGTGCTAGTGTACATGAATTATTCTCGCTTGTAGACATAAGTAATAGAAAAATGCTTTATCGTGCTCTTATCTGCGATCTCATATCAGCTCTGCTCATAATCCAATAAAAGAGATGAAGAAAGTGAATCCAACTCAAAGGAAAGGAAGTTTTCAGTGATACCAGGAACACAGTTTGCTTTATAATGTTAGTCCCACGTTTGAATGCTGTGACAAACTTTGTATTTCTGCACAAAATTGGTCAACCAGCCAATGTAAGAAAAAAAGAAATAGCTTCAAGCCGCACAACTCATATGTCAAGTGAATATGATTAGAGATTACAGTTTAGATGTCTGTGTAACTACGCTTCTAGCTTTACCACAGAGCCAATAATCAAATGTGTTTCCCCTCGTGTGAACGACACATTCCTGCTGTTGGTTTCAACGTTTACCTTTTTGTTTATTTTCTCTTTCAGTGCGATGAATAAGCGGTGTCAGAACTTGCTGCTGCAGATTTATCTGCACTTCCCCGAGGTCATCCAGCACGTCACTCTGCCAGAAGGCACCTTCAGCAGTGGGGGGGCTGCGGACGGCAGCAGCTGCAAAGTAAACATGTCTTACCTGTTCGGTCATAAACATTTACCATCTAATTGGAGGTGGTTTCGTTGTTAAATGTGTTGCCCTACTTCCCTGGCATATGGATACGTTCGGTCATTCTTCTTGTGAATATAAGAGATGTCATACTGTACATGGACCAGATGCACTTCATGTGGAGTAAATATCTTGGGTCATATTCACAAACATTTAGAGAATACTCTATTAGTCCTAGACTGAGACTTCTAGCAGTTGTTCCCCTTAGGAGCTCTCTTAAGGGCAAAGATTGATTGTAAATGTATCTACCAGAATCTGGTAGGTAAGGCAAGGCAAGGCAAGTTTATTTATATAGCACTTTTCTGTACGCGACAATTCAAAGTGCTTTACAAAACAAATTAAAATACTTTTTAGGAATACATACAGTAAAAAACACATTATATAATGGCATTTTACAACAGGCATTACAAAGCAAAGATAATAAAATAATAAAAATAAACACCACAGGTATACAATACATGTTTAAACGGCATACTGTAGTGAGAATATGAGCAGCTCAATTAAAAGCAGCGGCAAAGAGACATGTTTTTAGTCTCGATTTAAAAATAGTAAGCGTTTCTGTGGACGTGCATGCTTTGGGTAGTTTGTTCCAGCTTGTCGGGGCGTAACAGCTAAATGCTGCCTCTCCATGTTTTGTTGTTACTCTCGGAGCCGATAGCAGACCCGTCCCAGAAGACCTGAGGCACCTTGATGGCTCGTAATTATGTAGGAGTTCAACAATATACTTTGGTCCTAAACCATGTAATGATTTAAAAACTAGCAATAGTACTTTAAAAGGAAGGTGAAATTCTTAGAAAATAATAGTTTTTAAAGATCTTTCTTAGAATGTTGCTTTAAGAAGCTTTATGAAAACTGCCCTTGGTTAGATTGATATGACTTTCCTTAATATATTTGGAAATGAAAGCGGGCAAGCAGAAAATAAACTGAAATATCCCATACCTCATCACCAAAAAGGTCACAGGTCATGACCTCCAGCCTTCACCATGCTCCATTGGCTGCACTCTCCACTGTTCTCCATAGAAAGCATTGATAATGCTGATCTTAAGAAATGACAATCTTTTTGAATTCATAAAAATCACTGTCATTGCCATCACCAATACAAACTAGTCATTGTATCTTCATCACAGTGTGATATGTTCTTATTGTATGTGCTTTCCCCAGCTTGATGTCCTGGTGCACCGCCTGGTGATACTGCTGGCTGATATCGGAGACTCAAAGTCTGTTGAGGGCCGCGTGTCAGACGCCAACCTCGCCTGCAGGAAGCTGGCTGTGTCTCACCCCGTCCTTCTGCTCAGGTGAACAAAAACTCAGTGGTCCTCTGTTCTGTATTTAGTCCACAAATTCACCGACTGTAACACTGTTCTTCTTAAATGTTTTCCCCAGGCACCTGCCTATGATTGCAAGCCTCTTACACGGTCGTATTCACCTGAACTTCCAAGAGTTTAGGCAGCAAAACCACATGACGTTCTTTAGCAATGTGCTGGCCATCCTGGAGCTGCTGCAGCCGCTTGTGTTCCACAGCGAGCACCAGAGGGCGCTTCAGGACTGCCTTCTGTCCTTCATGAAGGTTCTTCGGGTAGGAGGCTCACACACTGTCACATCTTCACCATAGGATAAAGACTCAGATCGGACCTAATCACCTATTTTAATAAGCTACAAATCATTATATCCATGTTTGCTCCTGTAGAACTTCCAGAGGACTCGTTCCCCGTTTGTCTTCATCACCAAGTTCTTGCAGTTCACACAGAAATACATCACCCGCGATGCATCATCCGCCATTCCCTACTTACAGAAGCACTCTGACATCTTGCAGTAAGTATATCCGGGCTACTATATCTTTAAATTATGATATTCTGACTGTAATAAGTTGACTGTACTTACAGCAGAAACTGCTTGGTTGAAAGTCTGTTTTGCTGTTTCTCCTGCCAGGGTTCTGTGTGCAGAAAACCCAGACCTGGTTCAGCTGAAGTCTCTGCTGGCTGGACTCACTCTGCCGGTGAGGAGGTCTTCATCAGAGGTCGACCCAGAGGAGGGAGAGGGTGAGCAAAGAGTTGTTACAGTGGCCACATATATCTAAAGCAGCAGTTAAAAGATATCACCATTTTGTCCGTCTCGGTACATGGTGACATTTGATGTATTCAGCCTTTTGTGCCCAAAGACCATATGTGTTATGATAAGGCAAAAAAGCCATATTTGTTCTGATGTCGAAGGCCTTGAAATCTGGTACGGCGTACTATGAGCTAGTGTCTAACAGTCGAACTTTGAGATTTTTAGATCACATCAAAAATAACACAATATATAAACTATACATTAAATATTAAACTAAAATCATTAAATAAATGATTTAATGTATATTATATTAAAAAAACGTTTTACATTTTCCTTATTCAACTTGTTATGATTTCATAAAACAGAATACTTGATTATGCTCCTTGTAGTTTCTGAGAAACAGTCATTTTCTTTGCAATACTATGTTTAAGGCACATGGGACTGCTATATACCAAAATAGTAGATCCATATGCCAAAGAAAACGTACTTTACGGCCAATCTGTTCGAACAATTAGAAAATGTCTTCAGCTTTGAGGATCCTGGAAGCCCATATTCATGCATTGCGTGCACAAATGAAGTCTTAAGATCCGCCGCTTTGCCTTTTCTTGTAAACTTCAATTCTGTTCAATAATTGCTTTTGCTCTCCACCAGACGACGTGTCCACTGGTTCCCTGCCCCTGGTCAACATCTCTGCCTCTGTGTCTCTGAGTGCGGCTGACATGACGATGTACTTGAAGAAGATGTCGAGAGGAGGGGCAGTGGAGGGTAACAAACATACTGCTGCAGCAATTCACCATGTATAAATCCTGTATCATAATGAGTAATACACAATCTCTTTACGCCACTGCTATAGATGTGCTGGAAGTGTTGACAGAGGTGGATGAGAAGTCGAGGAGGAGCCCAGAGATCATCCAGTACTTCATCGTGAGTCATGAACAACATGAACACAAAAAAAGGTCAAGGGGTAAACCTGTCAGTTTGTAACTCATCCTTCCCCACCTTGTGTTTGCAGAACGATCTGCAGAGGCTCATGACGTCCTCGGAGGATTTGTGTCGGAACCTGGCCTTCAGTCTGGCCCTGCGCTGCATCCAGAACAATCCCTGGTAGGTTTGCAGCACTTCAGGACAATGTATACAGAGAACATGCTTCCAAGAGGGAACGTGTAGAACAGTCTTTTTCTGTCTTTATCTTTTGTTTCGGGTTGTCTCATTTTGTCTATATTCCATCTATTAATGTGATATTGTATCGCCTCTACTTCACTTTGTTGCATTGCCCGATGCACCAATAAAAAATGTTTCAACGAGGGAATGTAGGGAAATGTTAAAATCATGGTGCATGGCGAGCTGTTTGACAATCACTCGATCTTTATTCCATCTGTCACCATACTTTTGTCTGTTACTATTTACTTTTCACTCTGTAATAATGCATGTTTCTCTGCTGCAGCCTGGCAACAGACTTCCTGCCAACCTTCATGTACTGTATGGGCAGCGGTAAATTCGACGTGGTGCAGACGGCCCTCAGGAATCTTCCAGAATATGTCCTCCTCTGTCAGGGTAAGAGCATACTATAAATAAAATATGGTCACATGACCACATAGTTCTTAGTAGAACAAAGTGTTTACACACAGCATGCACCCAAAGTCGCTGTCAGTCACGCCTGCACATGTTTTTCTTTCTTCACAGAACACGCAGACATTTTGCTCCACAAGGCATTTTTAGTGGGGATCTACGGGCAGATCGACACCAGTTCCATGATCGCAGAGTCAATGAAGGTCCTTCACATGGAATCAACAACCTAACAACCAAAAGCACACAACTACAACACACCATGTTCAAATTTCTACATTCCAGAGCTGGATTTATTTGAATGTCTTTAGTTCAAACATTGGTCAAATTAGGTCATGGCAGATGTATAAAGTCTGTGGCTCTTCATTGGTACAGATTCAAGGACCAATCAGTGATCTGGTAGCTAACAGTTATCATAATAACTTCTAATAATCTAAATTAGAAGTAATTCATTTCATGACTTGAATGTAGTGACTTCAAAGAATGCATTAAAACTCCCTCTAAAGCTGAAAATGTAATAATTCAAACATCTTGTAAAATGCAACTTATTTTTAACTAATGATATATTTACCAATTAATATAAAAGATAACTAGGATTGGAATATTACAAGGTGATCTTATTCTACAATCAGTTAAAGAAAACATAGTATCTCCTAAATAATTAAATTAATCTTGCAGTAAAATAATACATATTATTTTAAAAACATCACTTTTTATTGCATTTTCATACATTCTGTGGGAGTCGTTGCAGTTAATACATAACAGCCATAAATGATTACCAGATGCAGAGCTTGATGTTTATTTGGAAAATGGCACACTATATTCGGCTTGATATTTGTAATAGTTTGAATATGAAATGTCAACATTGTTGTATGATCAAATAACTACATGCTTCATATGTCGTTCTTTTTCATTAACAATACATATTTCAATATTTCATGGTCCCCCATCCAGTGTTGTAGCGTTACAGTAGCAACTTTGCATAACTGAACGCGTTTTTTTCATGTAACTTTTCTTACTATTAAGAATACGCAGCCAAAATGCCAATGCCTGAATACAATGTCCATGTTCATTATTTCTGTTACCTGAACATCATCTGTGAGCCACCATGATTTCAACTGAAATAAAAATACCTTTCTGAGTAAGCCCGTTTCTTTCTTTTTGTTATTCCCCTTTACCCAGTAGAAAGTGAATAGTGTTACATAGTTCAGCTATAAAAATTGTTCAAGTTCAGTGTTTCAATTAAGACATTTTAGCACTATTTAGTTGGAAAGAAGTTTCATTTTGAAATTGTAGACCAGTGGTTCCCAAACGGTGTGCCGCGGCACACTGGTGTGCCGCGGCACACTGGTGTGCCGCGGCACACTGGTGTGCCGCGGCACACTGGTGTGCCGCGGCACACTGGTGTGCCGCGGCACACTGGTGTGCCGCGGCACACTGGTGTGCCGCGGCACACTGGTGTGCCGCGGCACACTGGTGTGCCGTGAGGCAAGTCCGGGTGTGCCGTGAGGCAAGTCCGGGTGTGCCGTGGGATTTTGTGACAACCATACGTTATTATTGCAATATACAACTACACACAAATAATTACTTTTGAATGTACTATATCAGTACTTTGTAGGTTTATATGTACGTAACCTGCGCGACTTGTGCGTCCACATCTCCACGTGCAGTGCTGCATAAACATGGTTGAGTCAGCGATAACTTTCGAGGGGTGGAGGTATGCCCATTATTTTGAGTTCGTCCGAAGAATAGACGAATGTGACGGTGAGGTGCAAACTGTGTCCAGGCCAGAAGCTGTTATCCACTGCTGTAAACACCACGTCAAACCTCAACAAACACCTGCAAAGAACACATGCTAAGGTGAAGCTATTTGTTGTTTGTTGATATCACGTAGTCTGTTCTTCTTCTCTGTCTTCCGGTTGTTGCCTGTTTTGAATGACAAATACACACTACCGCCGCCTGCTGGTAAGGAAAGTTATTGCCACTCACGCATGCATGTACGTGCTCGGCGAGTAAAGTAACGAGTTACTTTATGTAGATAGTAACGAAGTAGTGTAATATATTACTTTTTTAAAGTAATATGTAATATATTACATTTTTTTAGTAACGACCCCATCTCTGGAGTTGGCGTTCTCTACTCTGATTTACATGAAGAACAACAGGAGGTCACGGCTCTCTGTTGAACAGGACTTGCGAGTGGCCCTCTCCTCAGTGCCACCAAGGATTACAAAATTATACGTGCCCCGACAGGCACATGTATCTCACTAATTGGTAAATCGGCAAAATATTTACAATAGCACATGTTTCAATGCTGATTGCTGAAATGTTACATTTATAATTTGTAGTTCAGGACCATGGACAATGCAGCTTCCTTGCATTGACAGTTCTCTGTGCTGAATTTCTGCTGAGTTTCCTTTGCCTCATTTTTTATTTTGTGACCTGTCTGGTTTAAATGAGTGTGTTGCTGCTTTGATGAAGCCTAATTTGATAAAGTTTCAAATTAATTTCTGAAATATTTCATGAGTAATATAGTTGTCTTTGTCACATTTTATTTGGCATTAGTAAATAATTATGCACATTTACAGATACTTTACATGATATGAGTGATAACACGTGTTATAAGGGCTATTTTGCACAATAGGTGTGCCTTGAGATTTTTACTTGACCTTTGGTGTGCCTTGGGCACAAAAAGTTTGGGAACCACTGTTGTAGACACACAAATCTCACAAGAACCAATTATTACCTTTCAGAATAATATTTGAGCACCTCAAACTAAACGGAAAATGGGAACAAAATAAATGGTGCAACGTTTATGGCCTCTCATTTCCTTCCAATCATTTGTGGATCCTAATAAAACTGGAAACGGCTGTTATAGGTACGCATTCTCTTCATTGGCGTGTAACAGACAAATTAACATAGTGATGCACATGCTGTGATGGAAACCATTTTGCCATGAAAGTGTGAGTTGTTTTGCCCGGTGCCACTGACTTCATCTGCAAACCTCTTGATGGAGTCAAAGGGATAAGCTAAACAACGCGTAGGCATGCGGGTAAACCAGGAAAGTGGTCGTCCCCATTGATGGCAAATTAACCATGGCGGTAATTGTTCAATCACACAGAACAAAGTGTGCTTTGAAGACGTCATGTGGGTCGAGCATTTCACAGGTCAGACTGCTGCTGGTGTTTTGTTACATAGAGGACATGAAGACGTATCCACAGCATGGTTAAGGATCCTCAGTGGGGGTGAGACATGCCCACACTGGTGGGTCACTGGAGACTGTCATTCAGAAATAACAGGCATTCAGCTGGCTGGCAGAAAGTAATGCAGCTTTTTCTTTTAAAATGTAACACAGTATCCGAGAATGTAGGTCAAAGTACTCTTCATTCTTTTCAAAAACTGCCGACAACAAAACTCAACCCACATTCTTTTAATCTATTGGGCAACAACATATATATAGGCTGAGTTGTTGCAACAGTCTTGTATATTATTCAAACCTAATACATTGAAAATATATTATATATGTGCCTGTGTCTTCTGAACCCTCAGGATGCCTCTAAGTCTCCTTTAATGAATATGCATTCACACATCCAACCCCATAATTACCTTGTTCATTGGTAAACCCAATCATGTCTTAACCATCATGCCTCATGCCTGCTTATCTCTCTGCTGGCTCTGTGATGTGTTAATTGCACCTGTATGGTGTCTTATAACTAGCCGAGTGCTCTGTTTATGGTTATCTATCAACTTACAACACAAGTGTTAGCAGCCCAGTCTCTTGGTCCGGCGCCAGCATCCTATTGGCTGGGCAGCAGTGAGGCGGAACAGAGATGAATGACAGCTAACGGGGAAGTGGTGGGAGGAAGAGAGCCGGGGGGGGAGAGCGGTGTAGCTGCCTGTTGCTGAATAGTCTGACGGACCACTGACAAGTTAACAACCTGTGCCTTTATTCATCATACCAGGCTGGATGCCCTGAGACGCAGCTGTGAAGAGCCACCGCTCATTTGTCAATGATGAACATTTAGCTTCAATCAATAAAATATCTTCACAGTACACATGTAGTACATGTAACCCTGGGCAGTGGAGTACATTTACTCAAGTACAGTTTGAGGTATTTGTACTTTACTTTTTTTTTTATGCCACTTGGAGATGGACATTTTCTATTTTTATTCCACTAAACATGTTTACCTCTGTGGTTTCTTTTTAGAAGATTTAACAAACAAAGATTAATATAAAGGCAAATGCTATAATCTCATAAACACAACCTGTGTAATTCCAATGTTTTCTATCACAATCTGCACATTTCTATCAAATAAAAGGATTTCTTCTCTGAAATGTATTGAGATAATTGTTCAAGAACCAAAACTATTTTAACCTAATTTAATATTTCATAAGCCAAACATAATAATACATATTTCTTTAGCAGAACTTTATGGTTCGTCTCTGCGTTCCCATGAACTCTTCTTAAGACCCCTAAAGTTTAGCTTGTGATTCTTTGCAGGAAACATGACCCCTAGGTTGGCAACCATTGTATTAAACAACCAAACTGTATATAATGATGTCAAATTAGCTCCATCTTGACAAACTAACACAGTACAATTCAGATTTATACATTAGTATCTCTCTCGGAAGTGAAATTGTTCCTCATAAGACACTTTTAATTCTTTAGGCATAACAATTGATACCTATTTTCCTAATTTTTACATAAAACGTTGTACTTTCAGTTGATTTTAATTTGCTGTATTCGTTGTACTTGACTACAGGATTTGAATACTTCTTCCAGCACTAACCATGAGAATGTTAGATTGTGAGATATTGTTTCAAAGTGCAGGCCCACGGTTGTCAGAGCTCATGCCCGTGTGAAAGTGGCCAGTGAATGAGCAGCGAGCAGGAATGCGACCGGCGGAGGCTTCTCGGTGTCTCTCAGCTGCAGGAGGGGCCCCGATGTGCCGCTACCTGCCCCTGCACATCTGTCTGCTCTCCGTCTTCCTCTCAATGGCACCCTCGCCTTAGATCATCTCCTCTTCCTCCACGCATGAGTTGCGCTTGGCTTGCGTGGAAAAAATGTGGACCATCTCTCGCCTCTCTTCTCCGTGGTACTTTGATGTCTCAAGTGTGATTGCTCTTGGATTGTGGCCGCTTTCCCTTGAAGGTTTTGACATGAAAAGCAGGCTGGGCTCTCAGGTTTGTCCCATGGTCGGTGATCCAGGACTAAAACAATCAGCATGCCCACTGTGGGATACTATTACCAGGGAGAGTGAGGCACCGAGCATAGGGGCTTCCTCAGCCATGACACACACTATCTTCCAAGTTACAAACACATTTTAGGTGTGTTGATTGAATTATACCCATCCACGCTCCCATTAATAGATTTTAGTTTGAAGTTTGTGCAGACACTAAAATACATAAGCACGCAGTCAGATGAATTCTCGGTGTGCTTGCATAGAAGTGGACGACTGAAATGATTCGACATTTGACGAATTAAAAATAAATGAGGCTCCGTAATTGCAGTTAAGATTGACCCAATCTGATAAGTATGATAATGTGACATGTCATTAACAGCAGAGGCATAAGTGACAACCCTTAAGCTTCACTTACACTTTCATTAAATATTGATCTTATCTTTGCTCATTGCTGTTCCAGCCTGCAAATTACACCAGATAGATATATTCCCGTGACAAACGATAATCATCCATCTTGGCGTGACATTTGGCAAAAACTCTTGCTTTATGAGCTCAAGTGCATTTGTAGTGGATGAGAAAGCATAATACTGTGCAGTGTTCACAATCTCCATTAGGTCGGATTGTATCTCATCACACTGAGGGCAGAGTGAAAGTGAATCCACTACAGCCATGTCTGACAATGAAAGGTAGCCGGTATCATTGAATTCAAATGTTAACTCATTGAAAGTCCTTTTATGCAACAAAGTCCACAAAGGTATGGCTAATTTAGGAGGAGGATTGAGTTTCCACTTCGCAATCCTCGTGTTTAGCACAGAGCAACGTTGCCTCTTCAGGAGATACATCTGCAATTGCCTTCTAATATCCAATGTATGACTTTCTCTGACCTGGAATTTCAGGTGTTTCCAAATTTGAGAATCATTAAATGATCTCAGATCCCAAAACACATATTTGAGGAGGATTTCAGATGTCCCTGTCCTTAAACCTGCATGAAGGAATGCATGCTCAAACAGGTCCATCTGAAACTAAAGCCATCTGAAGAGCGTCCCATTGGTGGCTCTCTAAACCCATAGATAATGTCCCTGCAGCTGAAGGTCTGCTAATGATACAATGATTGGCATTTCAGCTGAGGATCTCCAGTGTTGCATGTCATCCGGGGAGCTGGAGATACCTGAGAATCCAATAAGACCTGGCACTAGCCATTACTATTGTTGTCTTAATGCCTCCTCCAATTATCCACAAGCAGCTCTTTTGAGCATCTACTGTCAGAACCTCCCCCACCGGTTTTTCAACAATCTTGTCCCTGATTATCTGGATCAATGGGCATTAAAGGACCCAGGCACAGACAAACACAGAAGTTTTGGGGGTAGGGAGTAGGGGTCTACTTTCAGACAGAAAATAAATCCCTGTAACTACCTGTGTGCCAGGGACAAACGGAGATGGCTATTCAGTCGTCAGGCGCACCACACACAGTGTTTGTTTAGTCGCAGCTCAAACTAGACACTCTAAATCTATTTTGCTTCTCCCCGCAGAACTTGCAAACCCAGGAAATAATTTCTTCCAATCCCTGTCTGTCTGCTACCTTCATCCTGAACAGACACACTACATAGTTAGTAGTGAAGAAACATTTTGGGTGCGTTTTAGTGCAAAAAGTTGCTATTTTTCCAAAACAAGACCAGATTAAAATAATGCATAATCACCACCTCCTGCCGATATTAGGTTAAAACACTTTTTAGAGAGAGTTTGCAAATCATCCTTATGTGAAAAAAAGCAGGAAACAGTTCTTATTATTAAGGCTTTATCTCCTCCTTAAAAGCCTATAGTAGGCTACATGCCAACAGTATATTACACATTTATAAATAAAAAATATATATATTTCTCAGTTTTTAGGGTAATTCTAAGATTTCTTTAGGCTTTTTTGCCACGCCTTAACTTTTGTAACTGTTTTCAGTAATGTATATGTTAGTGTATTTCTGTAGACAGGACGTGGCAACCTTATATAAAGATAATTTAGCTAAAAAAATCCACAGTTTAAATCCACTGTGGTGCAGGATTCTTAAAGTTCCTACTATTAAGGCTTTTGTTTCCTTAACATGTAAACGGGTTGTAACGCATTTATAACGCTTTTTGTCCTTTAAAATCTTGGAGGTAGGTATTCCCCCCCCTTGCATAAAGAGAAGATATGGCACCATTATGAAGAGATGCTGAAAATCGTTTGTTGGTCACTTGGGATAACACATGGAAGATTCCCATGATGTGAATGAAGTTTATTTAAATTAAATCTATTATTTCCGTCCCAACATGAGTTTAACAGAAATCCAAACCCTGCACTCTTCACTGGCTCCACTAAGGCATTAATTCAGTGTTTGAGCAGGTGCAGATGAAAGGGCCACAGGTGAGTTGCAGAGGAATGACCATCCCCTGACTCACCAGGCTGCATACGTCCTGATCAAAGCCCTCAGCCTGCCTGCTCAGCGCTGACAACACTGACAGCTCCACGATGAGCAGTTAGCGAGATGTGTTGTTAGGTGATATGTATCGTCGGATTAATTGACACACCTGTGTTTAATTCACACAGTCAGTGCAGGCGATCGTCTCATCAGAGATCCGTCAACACTAAGCTACAGCTGCCTTGCTCATAGAAAAGAAGTGTTAATAATCTTCCTATCTCCGCTATTAATGTGGTGATGTGTTTGCTTTGATCCGAGATGGAAAAATCCCTTAAATGTTTGGTAACACTTTGACTACTGTCGATGGTAAGAATTATTGTTGTCACGATACTAGCTTCCATGCAATACCTTGACAAATGTTGTTTTATGATAGCAACAGCAAAATCACTGTCACATTTGTAATTATCTACAATTGCCATAATGACTATTTCTACCCTAAGTGAAATGGTTTCCTCGTGTAAAAAAATAGGCTATAGGAAAAAAGTGTACATTATCTCAAATGTACACTTTTTACAATTTAGATTTTTAATTCAGTGTTACATTTATTCCGTAAATTGACCTCCGTATTTTGTCACACAATTTGTTCACGTATTCACAAATATCCTTTCCACCATATTGATACATGCTCAATTACTGACAACAACCCATGGGTACCGTCAGGAAGGCTTCTTGCTTTTGGTCTAACCTGATTTTTATATGATATGATAAGATGGTCTGGTTGGATCATTATAATACTTCACAATTATTTTGCCTTTTTTCGTGAGTTTGCCCATAATCCAACACAGTATTTGATGTATGTTACTGTAAATCAGGGGTATCCAAACTACGGCCCGGGGGCCAAATGCGGCCCGCTGGCCATTTTGAATTGGCCCTCAGCTAATTCAAAAAGTATGATGAAATATGGCCCAAAAAATGAAAATTGTGCTTTTCTTATATTGTACTTCTTAAATATATATGTACAAATATATTACACAGTAGTATTCATGTGTTAATAAGCCCACTTTTAAAATAAATTCAGTCAATTCATGTTGATAACATTTTCTAACAAATCTTAGTTGATACAAAAAAGCCTAATAACTTATTTACATAACAAGCTTGAAATAGACCCTATGTCATCTTATTATAATCACTCTGAGACTTCTGTTTTTAAGGGATGAGTTGCCAACAAGATAAATGAAACCCTATAGAGAGCTGTGATGTAGGCGTTTTTTTTCTTAAAGCATATTCATGTATCGAGCCTAATTTACCTACATGTTGCTAACTTATAACTTAACTGATGAGACGATATACCTCACCTTTATGAGTGGCGTATATTTTTCTGTATGTGGCCCTCGGTGAAAAAAGTTTGGACACCCCTGCTGTAAATGATCAGTATAGTCTTTGAGTGAGAGTTTTGATGAAGTATTACAATAGTTTTTAACCCATTTCTCAAATTGCTATTATTTTCCTAATCGAAGATTGCGTACCTGATGACTTCCATAGCATCCATACATCAAGTCAAATGTGAATGTATAATGGTAGCAAGTCTTATCAGGATCAAAGGTCTACTAAATGCAAATGTAATATTACCATAGAAATAAAACACAACAATTCAGTTGTTTGTTATTCTACAGGTGTTTTTAAAGACCTCATTTCATATTGTATAAAAGTGTAGGTAGTGTGATTTTCACAGCCTGTCAGATGCTCAACAAACAATTACACTTTACACAAGAATAAAATAACTACCAACAGAGTAAACAAAAATGTACAAAGAGGGCTTAATAAACATGCAGCCTTCAGCTTTGATTGTTTTGTCAAGTTAATCCAAGAAACAGCTGCTCAGAGTCTGCTGCGTCCTGCTTGATTTCATCCCACAGGTCTGAACAACTTGTCTCCTTTTTTAGGATTTGTTTTTAATATATTTGATGACTGTAAAAACGTTTAGGAAAGAGTTGTGCAAATCTTTAAGGCGAACGTGTCAAAATGTGTTGACACGTTTTCACAGCTGAGTTTCCATACACACTGAGCTCCTGTCCATCACCACTGATGTTGCAACTTTTACCTTGTAGAGTAGACAAAGGGCACCATTTCAGGGGAACCATGCGCTATCAGTTAATTTAAGAAAACAGATTGTTGGGAAATAAATGACTAATGCGTCAAACACGGATGCAGTAGTACTGATAATGCACTGAGAGCTGAATCACAGGTTGGATTTTCGTCCTATAGACCAAACCCTGCTCTCTGTTTGGAGGTCATGTGACTGGGAGAGGCGAGGGGGAGGTTTTGGAAGAGTAGCACAGGTGAGACCACCTCCACTACTCAAGTGTTACCTTTACTCTTCTGGCAACACCTTATACCTGCCCCTCAGACACATGCTGCAGCTTTAACAACCAGCAGACAATCATTTTCTCTTCTTCTTCATGGACGTTGGGATGCATTTCAGCAACTTGTCATCGCCATTGTAGGATTAAACTTGTCCCTTAACATTGGACTTAATATTGGACTCTTAACATCATGGACATGTTTGGCCCAGGACAACTGGTATCTCTCCTGCCTGCATTGTTCCATTCACCTGCAGCTCATTTCTTCCCTGCATTCCCAACCAGGCTGGGCTCTCCACATCAGTTTCTGATCCCGGGTCCCTTCATCAGCTACGAATCCTTGAGGAATTATCTGCAGCCAGATCCATGCAAGGAAGCTTTCCTCCTGGCCACTCAGGCGGTCGGGATAGGGCCGCTGACAGAGGGCATAGGTGAGTTCAAAGTGTGGCCATAAAGCAGGCTGATGCTGCTGGACACGTGCAGCCACACTGGCACAGCATGTCTACAGTCTCTAAGACAGTCAGTGAGCACCATCTGATTGCAGTGTAAATGTTTACAAAAGATTGGCTAACAGCTCGTAACTAACAATCAATTATCAAGCAGTGTTAAAGCGGGCCTAATGATCGCTGTGCTAATTATCCAATCTAGAGCCATTAGTTCCTTGTCACCCGTTGGCGATTGTGTAATTGGTGCTCGCGCTGTGTTTTCCAGATGAACAGAGGCCAGTGAAGCAGCGGCGTGCACGGGCCAACTACAGCAGCTGGCAGCTGGAGGAGCTGGAGAAGGCCTTCGAGACCACCCACTACCCCGACATCTTCATGAGGGAGGCCCTGGCCCTCAGACTGGACCTCATCGAGGCCAGAGTGCAGGTAACTGGATCACTGAACTGAGTCAACTGTTATTCCTTTATATTTGCAAAGGAATCTTTTACGCCCTGCAGACTATGTTGTCAGTCCAGCAGTACCAAGTTCTGTGTAGTGACAAACAATATTCAAATAATTTCATATGTATTTGTTTTTAACTCACCTATATTGTAACTGAAGGCTCTACCTCAGTGTATTTTCTATTCCAAAGGAAGGTTGAATGAATACAAGTTTCTCTAGTGAACTAATATTTACTAATATCAATGCGTTTTAGCAGTAGTTTAGATGATAGAATCACATTTTTTAAGTCTTACTTCCTAAAATCCTATATTTGTATTGAAACAGTAATTTCAATACAACCTGAGCTACTGGCTGCATATGATGTGTTCCTAACACAGCTACACTGTAATATATTGGGTTCAAACTTTCTGTACATTCAACATTGCAGCTGAAACTTCAGGCTTAGCAGTAAGCAAATCAAGTTTCAAAAGTTTGTGTTTTTAATTTACACTGGAATTGCATCGGACAGGATTTGTCTTCACGGCAGTTACTGATGGAGGGATAGTTACGGCAAACTAAACTAAAAGTCAATTCACTTTAAATCAATTTATATAAAATTAGGATAACATCCTAACATGAAGTAGGGTCAAACTTGAATTTGAACTTAGAGGCTGACACATTATCCAAAATGTTTTTGTCCAGATTTTAAACACTGCAACACAAACAGTTTTTACATTTCTATCTCCCTATTACTTCTATTAAGTATTTTTACATTTGTCTCCAGGTTTGGTTTCAAAACCGCCGTGCCAAGATGAGGCGGCAGCTGAAACTCCAGGGCCAGCTCGCAGGGCCTTTTGTAAAAAGAGACAGTGATGAAATGTGTGAGAAAGCCAGCAGGAGTTTGAAGCAGCAGACGGAGAGTTGTGACGACGAAACCTGGGAGAGACGACAGGAAGGAGAGAACTATCCATGGACAAAAGCTGCGAGTGCAGCGCTGAGCGCTCGCCTGCAGCCTGCGACCCCGAGGTCGGGGAAGTGGGAGAGGCCGGAGGGGCCGAGCTCAGACGAGCTCCGCTCCTGCAGCATCGCCAAGCTGAGGGCCAAAGCCAGAGAGCACGAGGCCGAGATCCACAGCTCTGTAAACATGTCAGCAGGCGACACACAGTCCCAAACACAGGAAGATGATGCCATGCACAGTGATTCATAGTTTTCCTTCTTCCTGTTTGTACAGATCATAATGATACAAAACAGCATAGACACTTAATACGCAGGAACTTACTTTGTAAACTATTTAGGTGAGGAGCACTATTAACTATTAACCTTAGTATAAAATGTTATATGTTAATGATTTTCTTTCAAATTATAAGTACGTTTCTGCACTATTTCATCTTTTTACATTTCCTGTAACACTTTTAAAGTCATTCATTCTGAAGGTTAAGTAGTAAAACTGTAAAAACTCTCTGTATAACTACTTTAAGAACATGTTTTCTCACATGCAAGTGCCGTTTCTCTACGCACTTTCTAACATTTCATTAATGTGACTGCGGTTGTCACCTTTTGAATGAATGCCACACAGGTCATTATTGAAGAGCTTACAGTGACAAATGACAAATGTTGCCATCTTACCATCAGCCTGTTGAGGCACAGCTGAAATCTGAGTCAGTCAAATCATTTCTAAATGATTTCACTAATAGCTTCTCATCCCTGACCTCTCGGGTTTCCTTCACAGACACGCAGGATGTCTGCAAGCAGCCACACGTCCTCAAAGGAAACAATGGAAATAACTGAGAAATGAAATAATGTGTGAGTCCAATGAAGAATAATTGTATTGTTGAACTCTATGCTTAAAAATCAAAATATATTGTTTTTGCTTTGTTTAGATTGAAAGTGACAGATTCATAAAGACTTTAAAAAAGATTCAGATCAAAACATGCACAAAATACTATATCAGTGTGAAATCATAATTACACAAAGCTGTTGTGAATGGTAAAATCACAAAATGTTCGGTTTTTGCAACTTCCTCAATCTGGTTATGGTGCAATAAACTACACTTCTAAAACGTGTTAATTTCTGATTACAAAAACCTTTTTAAGTATCTTAAAACTGAAGACCACATTTTATGGAGGGATATGAAAGGAAATGATTAGTGAAAACATATTAAACTAATAAAAAAGGGAGTGGTAAAGTATTTCATAGCTCCTTACTTTACTTAGTTAGAACATAACACATGATGATGATGAGATGATCATGGTTTTAAAACTTGTAATACACAAGAGTTTCAATTTCCTTCAAACTGTTTTGTATCTTTGATCTTCTGATAGCGTTTTTTATATTAACAAGTTCAACAAGTGAATAGAATAGTTTTAGATGCAATACATTGATGTTAAAACGGTCCTATTTATTGACTGTGTGTACTGAATGCACACATTGTAAAACAATTCTCCTGGTATAGCTCTAGTTAAAGTCCTACAGAGTATTTTCCTGTGTTTCATGCATTGTTAATGCATTTGAACACAGGTTGTGAGACAGTTCTCTCACGGTGCTGTAATGCTGCCCCCTAATGGGCATGAAGATGTCCTCAGACAGGATAGAAGAGGTGAGACAATTTATTTAAAATCTAACTAATGCATATCTTATTTGTTGTGTTTACCTTTATGAAACTTTTAGAGGTATGTGACTCTGCATAGTTTTTTGAACAAATAAACAATTCATGTGTTGCAGTGAACGAGGTCAGTGTGGGTCGCTCACATTTCAAAGACTCAAGTTCAACTCACTAATGAGCAGGGTCGAATATGTAACTGCTTTTCAAAATGGCTCAGAAAAGCACTTAGAGATAGTATACAAGTGGTTTTATACCATGGTTAGGTAGAACGACTTAAAACTTTCCGCCAAAATTCTGTAAAAACACTTTAGAGGATAATTCTTCATGATAACTATACTTCATGGAAGTTACTGAGAAATCATGTTACAAGTTTTCCCTTAAAAAATGGTGGGACACCATAATAAGGGCTAATTAGGGCAGAGTCCTTTTATGACAATAGTTGGCCTCAATTAGTCCCCAATTAGGCCCCACACAAGGATGACTGAGGGGGGGAAATGTATGTCATAGCTTCTGTTCCTAGTCCTCATACCGCACACTGACCCTGATATGCTGCCTGAGATAACAAGTCTGCTGTTTAATTACTTCAGAAATGCTGCAGCATTTTCCTCCTTTACTGGGACAATGATGAGTTTTAGGAAGCATTCAATTAAAAGAATATTACTTGTACTAAGATGAGATTCCAAAAGACCTTATAAACCTTAGAACACTAGTGCCCTTATAAAAACAACTCAGCAACATCCTGTTTCAAAAAGCCCAGGGACTCATTAGTCAGCTTTATACTAAGTCCAACCACTATGTCTTATGACAATACATGTGGGCCCATCAATCAAACTCTTAACATGGGGATACTTCCCTATGCATTTAATCAATTACAAATCATAATACATCAATAAATATAATAGATAAAACTCCAAATGCCTTTCTTAGCTGAGAGGAGTTAACTGCCAGAAGCTATAAACGATTTAGATCTGTTTTTATGTTTGACTAAACCCAACATTTAAAGGTGGGGTAGGTCATTTTGGAGAAACCAGCTCGAGTGCGCTAGAATTTGAAAATACACAGCCGGAAGAAATCTGCTACTTCCTTAAAGAGCCCCTCCTCCAACACACACGAACGCGCACATGACCAATGAGGGCACGAGATAAGTTTGTGCACAGATGGAAGGCTGACAGGCAGGTAGGCCATCCAGTTATTTTAGCCGGGCCGGCTCAAATGATTGGTCGTGCTTTTTACAGCACTACGGCTTCCACAGATGACATTTTTGTATGGATTTTTTGTCAAAGCACTTAAGATATTCATTGCTATCGGGATGTTAAGAGCATTCCATGGAATATAACAAAAAGTGTATCTCGAGCCGGTTTCTCAAACTTACCACCCCACCTTTAAGGGTTTAGTCCTAAACATTTAAAGTGGCATCCATGAATGAGCCTTTATTTGTCCCCTAGCTTTGGCTGGAATTGTAGGTTGTACACTGGAACTAAATGCAGAATAATAAAAAATGTGTTCAAGATAGGCACATTTGGTATCCATTTGTATGACCACTGAAAACACTGCAAAACAATGTGCAACACCTCTAATTGTCCTCTGTAAAAATGGGTAGTGTTTTTTAAAAAAAAATAACAGTTTTATTTTGACTAATTCAGGGTCAATAGCCTACAGCCTGCAAAAAAGTGCATGAATTATGAACACCAGTGCTGCTATTTACCTCTCTGTGTGAGCTGTGCTCCACTGTTGTTAGTGTGGAATCAGCATTCGGGGTCAATTAGCGTAATGAGCGCCGACACAGTGAGCAGCTCGTCCCGCTGGCTGTCATTTAGGTGTAGTAGGAAACAGGACGCAGCTGCAGCGCCGCACTTCACGGTCAAAGCCTGAACACAGACATTTGTTTTTACCTCTCTTTCCTCCGACTCCTCCACACTGAGCCTCCGCCTGTTGCACACTTTGTACCGAGAGAGCAGTGTGTCGCTGGGAGCATGGCTGCCATCAAGGCTCTGGAGCAGTGGTGTAAACTGCAGTGTGATGGTTACCGAGATGTGGCCATCACCAACATGACGACCTCCTTCAAGAACGGAATGGCTTTCTGCGCGCTTATACACAAGTACAGACCCGACCTGATGTGAGTATTTCATCTCGAAAAAGTGGGTGAAATTCGGCCGGGGTTTGGCTGAGTAGGCTACTTTTGTTGGGTCTGGGGAAGCCTGGGGAAATGTTTTATTTATTGTAGTGTTTTCTACAAGGGTTTTCTATTTCTTTATGGAACTGACCTAAAAGTGAATTTTAATTTAGAAATTGTGATTATAATTTAAGTCATCCTATCGTTGGTTTATGTCCTCCTGCTGTTTTCAATGTTATTCCTAAAGTGACCAATCATGTGTAAAATTAAAAAAAGAAGAGATACGGTCATGTCTTTAACATTTTAAAGTACTTTTTCCACACATCTTTCTGAAACCCTTCAAGTTGAATTCGATTATTTTCAACAGCATGTCTAATTTATTTGTCTATTTTATTTCTGTCTTCCAGAGACTATGACTCACTCAAAGAGGAGGATGTGCTTGAGAACAACAGACTGGTAAGATGTCAAGTTGTTAAACCTTTGTCACATTGAGTGCAACAAAGTTCAAACTCAAGCTGCAAAATCTGATGTAGCACATCCACTTCATTAACCCCTCATGGCCCATGCAGAGACACTCACCGTGTTTGTTCTCCACTTGGCATTCATGCAGCAGACGTTTAAATATTTAGCTGGTTCAACATTACAGCAGAGCACTTTAAGCAGAAGCTGCATGTTGGAATGTACATTTCTATCACTTTCAGACCCCTGTACAACTTTCTGAATCTTTACTCTGCCTCTGTCCACTTGACCTCATTTATTTTGTTAACCCCAACATGACCCGAGCAGCACCGCTGGGACGGACCCCTTCATAATTCAGCCTTCTTCCATTTTACCAGCTTCCTCTGGAGGGTTCAAGGCCCTGCAGTGCCACAGTTTGCACTTCTTTGTTGTCTTGGATGATCCTTGCAGTGTCAGCAGAAAACCTGAGCTCAGGGGAGAGGCTCTCCAGTTTATTCATTTTGAATGAGGCTCCCTATCCTCTGCCACTCGATCTATATGATGACATTTCCCTTGAAGCCATTGTTATTGTTGAATGTTAGCCATGAAGAAGAACATTTACAGGATGTGAACATGTTATTGTGTTTGATCAGGTTTTTAGTTATGAGCTGTTGAAGGTGTGCCGAAACAGGACACTGTGAATGTTACTCACACTCGTCTATATTTCATGACTATAGTGTCATGTTTCTAACAGGTGGTTATTTTACGAGTGTAGGAACCGTCTGTGTGTTTGTAGGAAAAGCAGCAGCCTCACATTCTTTATCTTTTGTGCTCGTCTTTTATATTAGCAGACTTGGTATTCAGTCAGGCTTTGCTCTAAATGTAATGAGCGTGTCCAGGCTGATCCCAAACACCGCCCGGTATCCTGCTCCCTCCATCCCCTTTCTTATCCCTACAAGCTCACAGGAAGTTCGCTATTCATTATGCAGCCCTTTGCAGACCTCTCTGGGCTGAGTACTGCCAGTCTATTTAAAGTAGATTGTATTGTCTGACATTTTTACACATGCTGTAATTGTATTGCTGAGCCCAGTGAATATTGTGTTTCATATGGAAAACAGTGCATCATACATAACATTTATCTTGGCAGGAGTTGAGGGCTCTTTGTTAAACTTTGTATTTTTCTGTTAAGGCTTTTCAGATTGCAGAAGAGAAGTTGGGGATTCCTGCTTTGTTAGATGCTGAGGACATGGTGGCTCTGAGGATCCCAGACAGGCTGAGCATTCTCACCTACGTCTCCCAGTACTACAACTACTTCAAAGGACGGCCTGCAAGTGAGACATAACTGCCTTACATGTCCTGACAATGCATATTTTCTTTAAATCAGGACTTTTCTTACATTTTGTTAGGCTTGAGTATATTGTTTCTCTCCTGTGCTTCATTGTGATGAGTGACACTGGTGGTGTTTTATTTCTGCTCAGTGGGAGGTGTAAAAAGGCCAGCAGAGGGCTCCAAGGAGGAGCCATCAGAGAAGAAGAATCTGCCACTGGTTTCCAAAACCTTTGTGTCTAAAACCGCCACTGAGAAATGTTTACCTTCCACGGCTCAGACCTCCCCCAAGGTGGCCAGAGCTGCTGTTCAGGTCAGTGTCCAAATAAAGATTTTGAAGTGACGGACATCTTTGTTGTCTTAACCATTACTTCCTAGATGATATACATAGGAACAATGAGGTTTATTGTCAGTGTAATAATACCTTTTGGAATAAAGCATAACCTCAATTTGTTTCCTTCTTTCACAGAAGCCAGTTCTGGCAGAGAACGCTAACAAAAATGGGACTCTCACTAGCAAATGTGTTGCGTGCAAGTGCCATGTCCATCTGGTTCAGAGGCACTTTGTGGATGGCAAGCTCTATCACAGAAGCTGTTTCAAGTAAGACTATAGTCTGTATTCATTGATGCTTTCCTGTCATGTGCTGTTCATGGTGTTAATGTTTTGTGTTATTTCAAACTTCTATTAGATGCGGTGAATGCTCGAGCGTGCTTCATGCAGGAGGGTACAAACCCGGGAAGAATCCAGACACTTTCATCTGCAACGCCCACCAGAACAGTTGCAAACCGCCCTCCTCTGAGCTTGGGATCAAAAACAGACCCAGTGGTTCAGCAGGGTGGGTAAACAGTGCCAGTCAGACCCAGCCTGCACCACGCCCCTCTTCTGTGCTGTCAGCTCCACTGAATATCCTCCTGAAGCCGGTAGTCAGTCCGGCTCCGCCCTCCCAGTCCTGGACGGCCTCCGCCCATCGGACGCAGACGGCCCGGCAGAGGTTCTTTCAGGCGGCAGCGCCACTCACAGAGGCCTCAGCAGGGAACAAGAAGCAGACAGACCCTTCAAGTGTCTCAGGAAGACATGATGATGAAAATAACACAGCCAGGACAAACATTGGAAAGAAGTTGGCAGAGGAGAACTGCAACAACAACAACAAACGACCCTTTACCATCCGATCAGCCACGAGAAGGTGAGAATTGCAATCCATATGCTTTATGAGTATATTCTCCTTTGGAATAATTTGTGTTGAGATGTACCGGTATTGACGCTTACCCATCTCCATATTCAAAAAGAAATATAGATATCATGTTAACAATACACATAAGGTAATAATCCTGTCCTTGTGGATTCATCTGGTTGTTGTTTTTTAAAACCCATTAGTGTAACTGTTCACTTTGAACACTATACATTGTAGATGTATGGTTACAAACTGTCTCCCTACACTATTTTTCAATTCATTTGCCAAAAAAGAGACAAAACACACACAAATGAAAGCTTAGTCCTCTATATTATCAACAGAAAATACAAAAAGTTCAATGATACTGACATGAAATGTTTACCCTAAGTTCGAATCATGACTTATTTTACCACCAATAATTATGTACTGAAAATCTGATATCCTGACAGCCTTATTTGGACTTTTCTAGTCTTTCCCACTGTCTGTATGGTTTCTTCACAACTTCTGTTACAAAGAATGACAGTGAGGGCTTCCCCCTTCTCTGCAGGTTTGGAGAGGAGCCAAGTCCGGCTGACGGCCCCGCTTTGAGAAAAGATAAATGTAGCCAAGACCCAGCAGGAAACCGGGCAGGACAGCCCGCCACCAGCCAGACAAACAAAAAGGAACCGCCATGTTTGAAGGCCATCAACAAAGACAACACGAGGCCAACGACTGTACACACAACCGCCAAAGGCAAGCACAACTCAATTCATTTCACTTGTTCTGATCCATTATTTGACATCCAGCCAATATTCACCCCCACCCCCACCTTCATTCTCCCTGTCTGTCTCGCATTCATAGAAAACAAAGCCCTTTTGTCGTCTTTGCCCTATTTATACAGGCAGTGAATTTAGCATGATGGTGGCTCAATGCTGGGTGCTGACATTTTAATTTCTGTCTCACACTTTTAATGAACTTTCATAGTTGAACTGTCACTCTCTTTGGATGGATGTGCATGCATGGGTGCAGCATCCTGACAGAAGTAGCTTTTCAGACAGAAAGACAATTACTGTTGATTTTTAATATAAATAGTTGTCAAATCTTTTAGAGAAGTCTCCCTTTCATGGAACCTAATTATGTTGCCTGTTAATATGGACCATGGACATTATTCCAACTTGTTTTGGAAAACAGGAACACCTCTTGTTAGATTTAACATAGTTTATTATCCTTTTCTCTGATTCACAGATTATAACATTATTTGTCTTTTTAATACAGATGGGCAGGTGAGGATCATTGTGGTGAGAGACTAGATAATGAAACCGGTAACTGCGCTCATTAGGAGCTGTTCATGTGGGTGTGACATGGAGAAGAGTCAAGGGAGTCTTTTGTTTACTGTGAACAGGAACTTGAACTGCTTAGAGATCACACTTCATTGCTAAAGCAGATGTCAAATAAAATGTCTTTGAAATTAGGAATGACTTTAACAAGTGTTCATGTGACAGATGAGGTTTTGACAAGCTTTCTTTTGCTATCATGCGTTTATTCTCATTCCTTAAACAGATCCAGTCTGGGGGCAATTGAGGCTCAAACCTGTGAAAATGGAGCTAGCTTCAAAGTAAGTGTCCTCAATCATCTTATTACTCCCTCATGACTAAGTGGAAATGGGTAGGTCACACAGGTGGAAGAAAATCTGCTTGAAAGATTTGTCATGAAACATCCCTGACCATTGAGCTTATTCACTCTCCAGAATGCAGAATCGTCGAGCTTCTTCCATCTCTCTTAATGTTGACTGGCTCAGACTGCAGCAGCTAGCTCTCTCCCCCCTCCTAACAAGCCCCAGGGAGTGCCAGGCCTGAACCTTCCCCACTCTTAACACTAGATTCTCTCATTTCTAAACCCTGCTGATGATTCCTCCATTCATCCTTTTCTCATAACAAAACGAAAGGTGAGGCTTTTCCCATATTTTCATTCTTTATGTCCAGCCTATAGTTGTCTTGAATCTAACAGCTGTGCTTATTATGCCTTTTTTAACACACTTTAAATCCAAATTGCCTTTTCTCTTTGCTTACAGAGATGCTGAAGCTGAAGGCTTTACTGAGCATAAACCTGGATTCTTGTCCACCACTTGCTCTAACGTCCCCAGCAGCCCTACAAGGCCTCCCTCTGCTCCGTTACCTGCACTACCTCCAGTCAGCTTCCCTCTGTTTGATCCCGCACCCCAGAAACCCCAGCTTAGTTCTGGAAACCTTGGTGAGTTCCTTCTGTACATGTTAATAATGGAAATGTTGTTTGTATTGGTTTTGCGCTCAGAATTTACTCTTTGTCTACTGGGCTATTTGATATCGGCAATAAGGTCTATTGTGTGATGTACAATAGTATATATTGGTTTGTCTAGGCATTTCCCATTATTAAAATTAGGTTGTGGTATGATACAATATTTATTATGTGAAGTTGAATTATGTGTTTAGCTAACGACTGCCTCCTGGGGCGGTAAAATGCACTATGAGAGTGGTTCCATACCTAGTGTTAGTTTAAGGGGCTCAATCATGTTTGTTTTCAGGTTCATATATGTATTTAGTGTCTCTACTGTGACATGTTTCCATGCTTTAATGTTCAAAAAGGTCTTTATTTCTCTCATACTGCCTGTGCTGCAGCACCTCTTTTCACCATCTGTCTGAAACCAGAGTCCAGTCTGCTCTGATTGGTTAGCTGGCTGGCTCTGTTGTGATTGGTCAACCCCTTAGAGATGTCCCGCCCCTTAGCCTATCACGTACAATGTGTTTGTGTGTCAGCCAATAGAAGCAGGAGTATTACATAGTGATGTCAATGGAGGTGTTTCAGGCAGGAAAGAAACTCCCTCTAGAGGGAACTTGTGGATTTTAGCCTTTGCCTATTATTTACATGCAAACCTATACAACACTCGAAAGGGAAACCCCCCAAAGCATAATGGGGCCACGTTACGTATGTGATGTAAGTAAAACAACTTCAACTTTTGGTTTCAATCAGGACTCGGTACAACAGTCTCCAGAGCAAAAGTCAAACATTTTTTTTAAAGTCATGATAATGGTGCTAAAGAAAAAACAAGTCTGATATTTTTTTCTGTTTAGGGGAAATACAGAAAAACAGCATTTAAAGCATCTTGTTCTTTTTAATTTAGATTTCAAAAACAGGACTCACTCGCCTATAAAATCCCCACCCAGACGGTCAGCTGTGGAATCTGTTAGGTCTCCAACGACGACTCCAGCCAATCACAGTAATCCTCCAGGTTGGTTTCCAGCCTTCATTAAAGCTTCACATACATGTCCAGTCCACCGCCATCTTGTTGATTTCATATGAGCAGTAATTTCCCCCTGAAAATAAATCAGGGGAAGTCATATGTGACAATGCTTTTCTGAATAGCTGCCATGAAAGGGCCATCTAATCCTATTTTATCTACCTCTTAGGTGCTAAAAAGGGAAAGTATTTGTCACCCACCAACGCCTCCAGGACTGAAATGAGGTCACCCTCTGTAAGTTCCCTCCATTAAGTCTCTTAAAAGATTAATTAACAGCTCTACAAATATGCTTTCATTATATTCCCAGCTAAAAAATGGATGACCTTCTTTACGTTTAAGTGTCCAAAGTCGAAATTTTCAAATTAAAATTATCTGTACTTTCACTGAGACACTTAAGTTATTTTGTTTTATATCAGGTGAAGTCTTATCATGTTCCAGTGGAGCAGATTGAGAGGCACCTGGATGATATTGAGAGAAACTTGGCTCTGTTGGAGAAGGAGGGCGTGGAGCTAGAAAAGAATCTCCGCAGCTGTGAGGAAGGTACTTTATTCCTGTCACTCTTCCTCTGCGACTCCTTTTTTCCCACGTCCTTCCTTTTCCTTGTTTAGACGTGCCCGCAAAATTGAATGATGACGTGTCAGAAACAAGCTGTGCAATTTTTAAAATAAACACTCCCAGAAACTCACTTATTCGGAAGATGCCAGTGGTCAATTTTGCTCTCTTGCAGTGAATAACCTTGACACAAGCTGTGATATTTTATTGTATTTGTGCAAACTGCTGAATCCCACCGCTGCTTCTGAGAGCATCTCTTCGTACAGGACACACACACTTTCACTCACCATCAGCTGGAGCTTGTGTGTGTGTGTTCTGGGGATATACCTGCCATTTCTATTACTGTTTCTGCAGCCAAATGAGGTGAGAGGCGCAGACAGCCCACAGGGAGGTTGCCTCTCTTTTTGAGGTAGTATGAGTAGGGGGCCTGATTGCTTTGCTCAAGGTCAACATGACTTGGGTATAGTAATATATATTTTTGCTCTATTGCATACTTTTTCCTCTTATTCTCCATCCAGGAAACCTGAGCATGCAATCACTTGGCCAGGATTTGACTCCAATTGCACACCACCTAGGAGATCATTTACTCCTCAACTTGTCGTACAAACTAAACCCTGGCACTCCAGTGCAACTCGGAATCAAATCATGTTTGTTCTGGTGATGGCACCATGTAGACCGTCTTGTCCTGATCTGTCCTTATTTGGTGTGTGTTTTGATGGATCACTAATTTGGTTTGGCAAATATTCACTATTGATCCACCTTTCAGGGTATTCCAGTCTGACTTGGTGAAGCAGTGCACAACATACAAAATAGCTAGACCAAAAATATCCCTAAACCATTAAAATAAATATTAAAACAGCCTTTAATGTTTAAATGTATATAAATCACTGTCTTTGTCAAAGCTTTAATGTGCTGGGGTAAAAAACAAGTTAATCCTTATTGGAGTTTTGTAAACCATTATTAAATAAGTGATGAAGACAAATCTGTACATGTATTCCCTCCGTGTTGCTCTACATCCCCTGCATGCTAAATCGTGCATATTAACACCACGTTTTGAAGTGAAGTCATTTTATTATATGGGAATGCTGGGCCTTGTCTATTTCATTCCAGGGCTGTAATGATTATTTTAACTATCAATTAATTCAGGATTTTACTGCAAAACCTGTCAAATAAAGAGAACATATAATTTCCTAAGGCGGCATTTCAAAGGTTTGTTTTGTGAAATCATCAGTCTTTATCTTCATGTTTGACTGAGAAATGCAGAAATCCTCACATTTGAGGAACTGGAGGCGGATCATCTTTGTGTTTCTGCTTTAAAACTAACTTATTGAATATTGTTTTAGTGTTAGGGTCCCCTCTTATTGGATTAGTTAACTAATTGGTCCCTTGGGTCTAAGTCATCTAATATTCCTTTGCTATTCTTTTTTTCTTATGCTAAATTATCTTTTTTTTTTTACAAGAAACATTTTTGGTAAACACAGGATTTCAAAATTTGAACTACTTGGATTGATTGGTCAACAAAATAATATTAGTGTTTGAGCGACTAAGAACTGATTTCGTCGAGGATAGCCATATTTTGGTATTTTAGAAGATGAATTAAACCAAGAGTAAAATAGAGTATTCACCCCGGGTGATCATTGCTAAGTCTATGCAACAGCGGGGGGGGGGGGGCTGATAATGTCAGCTACACAGTAAATTAAGCCAATTTCAAACTGTGAACATATCTGAAGTGTTGATACTAAAATCTTTATTTAGTTAGTGCTTAGTTGTATTATTATTATGTAACTTGTAACTAAAACGTTTTTTTTAAATAAAATGATGTACAATCATTTTTATTTATTTTTAATCATTTTTTAAACAAAGATATATATATTGTAAATAAATTCAAACAAATCTACAGTTTGCCTTTTACCCAGCCTGAACAGTCTGGTCCCCGTAGAATCGTACACCATCAACTCATAACCCTTTCTTTGAGTTGCAATAACCTGTTAAAGTGGATGATTAATGCACTTTTTCAGAAATGTCAAGAATGTTGGCGTTATAGTTTCATCACGTGTATTTGTGTACATACTGTATCTCAGTGTATTTCTTAATTGAACATTGTTTATGTTGTGTGTTTCAGAGGGAGAGGGAGACATATTGATGGACCCTCTGATGGTCGACTGGTTCAACCTGATTCGAAAGAAGCAGATGTACATTAGGAATGAGTCGGAGCTTGTATACAAGTGAGTTCTTCCAAACCGTTTTTTGGTTGCAAATGAATCTATTGGAGAGCGTTTTGGAAATATTTTCTGATGGCATTCTGCTATTTGAAAGAAGCTTTAGGAAGGGTCCAAAGACATTATTTGCAGTTTTGGGATGCATGTGATTAGGAATTAGGTTTACCTTTTATACGTTCATGATGTCTTGATGCATATATTTAGAGCCAGGACTCAGGAGCTGGAGCAGCAGCAGCCCGGTGTGGAGGGGGAACTTCGCAGACTGCTGGAGAAGCCAGGTTAGACATCTCAGACTCACTTCTCAACATCAGGTTTTAATTTTTCTTACTCTAAAGTCTGTTTGTATTACAGATCATTTAAAATCCAGAGAGGAGCAACAGCGGGAGAAGAAGTTGATGCAGAGACTGGTGGAGATTGTGGACGGCAGAAATGCAATAGTGGAAGGTCTGGATGAAGACAGGCTGAGGTAACACAATGTGTCTTTAATTATAATTTTTTAACATATGCAGTAATGCAGCGCACATAACGACACAAAATGTTTAACTAGAGTTTTATTTTTGAATTTTAGGGAAGTGGAGGAGGATCAGCAGCTGAATGAAATGATGCAAAATCTTGGTAAGTATTATATTAGATACTTCTTCATTTAAATTACATTCTGTTTTGAATTCTTCACTAATATACTTTATTGTTGGTGACTAGGAGTAAAGAAAGCGAAAAATAAGAGGAAATCCTCCATCTCAAAACTATTCAGGCGGAGAAGTAAAAAACGAGTGGAATGATCCTCACGGCAATTTTTACTAAATTCATTTGACTGTTGTATTATTATCGTATTATCATATTTAAATTTTAAAACAAATATGTTAAGTTTTTTATATTTAAGTACTGCAGTACATAAGAAGGCAAATGAACGGATGTCCTATTAGGACGAATTATGGATTAAATCATGTTTGTAGTTGTTTCAGAATATTTCAAATTAAAGGTTCAGGTATAAACATATTTATTATATTTATTTTCACCTTTTTGGTTTTTTGTTTGTTGTTATTGGAATGAAGTGAGCATTTCTAAATGGCTTATGATCAAATATTTTCTTTTTTTTCACAACGGGTGTCCTGTTTTTTCACAATTATTGTTTTTCACAGTTTTTTTCACAAAAGAAAATGGTGTTTAATTACGTGGCAAACACAGCCGCACGCGTTTCCCTTGTATTGATTAAGATTCAGTAGGAGAGTGTCACACGAAAACATGTCATGAATATGTTTGTTAAATGTTCTGTTAATTTATTCTATAATTGGAATATGATATGTAATGTTTAACTTTAACTTGCACTGGGGCAAACACATTCGATGTTGGGTGTTAAACAAACCAGCTATCATGATTTAAGGGGAGGGGACACTGGATGTTTCACATACAAATATAGATTGATGTGTTGTACTAAAACAGCCTTGATTCAAAATACAATTATTTTAATATTTATTTTATGATGGATTTTAACTAACTAGGGTATTAGCAGGAGAGAAAGCCTGTTGTGTCTAAATGTGTGTGAGCTGAGAGCCACACATGTTGCAGAGCCTCCTCTCCCTCTGTACTGTAGGTGGCAGCCTGGGTATGCTTTATCACTAGGCAAGAGCTTGGAAATCCAATTTGCCACAGTACGGACAGTTAATTTCTTTGCTAATTTTATAAATGCTGCAAAAATGTTCAGCTGTGCTGATGCAATAATGTTATGTGAAAGAGGATTAGGTAGAGCAGTAGCTTATGGCCGGGGAAGGCTTATAAACTATAGGTTGTATTGAGCTTTTTATCTTCAAACCGGGTTTAATTAAACATTACTCTTTACTAATATCTGCATCAGAAATGCTCCGTACCTGAGCTATTAAAAGGTTCAAACGTGTGTGGAGTCACTCATGTGTGGAAATGGCATTTGCAGTGTTTGTAAGGAATGAGCTGTAATGTTGCATTTTAAGTGTTACTGTGGTATGTACTCTATAATAATTTTAAACTTGAAATCTGTAGTCTAATAAATCCTTTGAAGATTAGTGTGTATGTGAGGTTGAATTATTTACTTAACAGCTTCCTTTGGCACACATCTCTCTATTTAAACACATCCTTGAACTTTTTATCACTCCACTTCCCATACAAGCTCCAGCATTGACTGTTGATTCAACGACTGCCAAGATCAGACGCTGTTTTCAGTGAGAAAGCAACAACCTTTGCATTAAAGCTGCGCGGCAATCACAGAGCTGCATCAATGTATGGTTTTTAATAAGGTTTTTATTTTTTTTTGGACATCAAGATAATTCACTGCCGTCAATATATTACTGCTACTTAAAACTCCACATCCCTCAATTTGAGATGCATGAAATTGTGATCATGAACTTGGAACACAATCTTTCTAGTTGAGCAGAGTTGGGGATGATATTGGTACAAAAAATGCCACGCGTGATGTGGGTGACAGTCGAGACTGAATGTGTGATATTGGAGTTAATTAAAGCTTTGCGCCCCATCTACTGCAAATGCTTGCACTTCTGCAATTAAGAATCAAAGGCGAGGGCTTAGTGTCAGGGGGGTGTCTAATACATGGTTTTAACAGGAATGGGACCTGATTTGCCAAGCTCCTAGCGACAAGCATTAACAACAGCCTCAAATTAGAGGGACATTAATATTCATAAGTAAAACAATTCATCCTGTGAATGTGTGATGAAATGGAATCCTCTGAGGTGAGCTCTTGTGTCCAGACTGCCATCGTTCATTAAAATATGCCATTACCCATGAAGTGCTTAATCTTTATGAAACGGTGGTAAAAATCTGTTTGAAATGCTCTGACAGAAAGGTGGAAATTGTAATATTGTTCGGCGCCTTACATTATGATAATCCGGTACATGTATTTAAAATGTGGTTAAGTAAAATAAGCTTCTATAGCAGCTGAATTGTTTAGACTTCCTGAGAGAAAATGTATTATCTTTGCTTGTGTACATAGATTGTATTCTACTAATAAGACGTGAGTGCTTTGTGGTGCTTTAGGTTAGCTGTTGTACGCTGCCACTTGCAACGCAATCTAAATTATGTGTGTGTGTCGTCTTATTCCGGTCTCTGCCACTAGCCTGTAATTATGATCCTCGAGGTAATTTTATCAGGCTCATTAGCTCTGATGAGTAAACGAGAAGCGTGCCTCTAATTTATTGGCCATCCAGGCTGGAGACTAATTCTCATCAGAGATCATAATATTTGTACAGAGACAGATATACAGTATATATACTCAGTTACACGGCTCCTAGACAAACACTGAGACTTTGTTTGACTTAAAACCAGTAATTACACTCAAATCATAAAGGATAATTGGGGCATGTGCTAAAAAAATTATCCGTAGATGTCATTCTGATGAGCACAGGGCAACATTACATTGTCTCTTTTTTTGTATTTTTAAAATGAAAGCTTTTGTTTGTATTCTACCGAGTCTCGTGACTTTATCTTCCTTCACAAAATTAGATTCTCACACCTCTGCAAACAAAAATTGCATTGTTTTGTTCCCTGTTCAATAGAGATGATCCATTTTCTGTGTCAGAGAATGTGTTAAGGGAGCGGGGTAAATATGCTCACAATTTCCAGTGTGTAGAAATTTGCATTGAGGGGAAATTATGCATGCTGGCTAGTGGAAATGAAATGTATAAAGTGCATGACTGGTAGACTTGACAAGTGCAGCTTTCATCCATCTCAAATGAATAATTTTCACTTCCCTTAAACATCCTTAATCCAACCATGTTATCAGCGGGCATGCAGGATTCTGCCAGACTTTCTCCTTAACGGCACAGCAACTTTCAACTTGCTTGAGATTCTGCACTGCAGTTGCTTACCACATGGTCTTAGGGACTCACTCTTATCCCTTCCTGCTGGTTTTGTGGATCAGTAAAATTCCTTCAAAACACAATACATACATAAGGCAGGTCTTAATAGATAGCAGAATGTCTCACTCTACCCTCCTCTGTGCTGCCTCAGAGGTCGACTTAAGGCACTGTATTTTACCTCTGATTCACATTGGCAGGGAACTCACTGGGATGCTGTCTAAAAAAACATATTTGCTCCGTGGCCCTTTGTCCTCTATTTCAAATTTCAGTGACAGCCCCTTCCATGCTAGTATAACGTAGTTTAGGAAATTCTTATGGCCGTAAAGGGATAGAGAAGGATATTCATGGTAAATGACTCATTTACAGGCCTGCATGCAGCGCTTTGACTCTCTATTTAAGCAACATTTCCTTGTCTCCTTCCCTGAAATACCCTCTTATGATGATACTATATTGTGGCAAATCCCCCCTCGACATCCCAATCCTTTTAATTTATGTACTGTGGCAGGTTTTCTAAATACTACTGACGATAAACAATTAAATGTGTAATTGGTGTTTATGCTGCTAATCCTTGTGATAGCCTTTAATATGAAGGGGTTACCTGGCTATTTTCAATATCCACTCTCACACAAGCCTCGGTTTGCGATAAGAATATTAACCTCATCAATTTCAGGTAACTTTCAACGCTTTAACATCTTGTCTTAAAGACCTACGTGTTAGCAGGAGTCTCAGCCTTGGCATTTAGTGACATTTTAAGCCTTTTAACAGAATCCAGACAGGGATTTGCAGTTTCCACCAAAGGGAAATAATTTATATCCTCCTTTCTGAGAAACTGTGGGTAGAGGGATTAAATGCACCAGAGAGATTTGTATGTGGTGCAAGTAAAACAATATTGTGACTCAGTTAATACATTTCCTACCCATCTACTTTCATGCTTTCAGGAAGTCGGGAGTTGTTACTCATCTGAGTTGGCTTTGATCCTTTTCTTGGTTAATTTTCTCATTTTGGAGGGTTTTAAGTGTATAGGGCACAGTGATGGCAGCGCTGTGGACCTGAACTCCTCTTGCCGGAGTGCTATGTGACACCCATAAATAAGTGTCTGCTGGGTCTGAGGCAATGAAGAGTCTGACCCAGACCAATTATTTTGTATTCATTCCTAATCAAACATCATTAAATCCTTTGGAAAAAGCAAATGTTTTCACACTACTCTGATTTATATTTAAAACATAATGATGTCCTGCGCACGCGAAACGCTTCTGAATGACAGTTTGGAACACAAAAGCTCTCTTTTTCCACATGTTGGATGGTTTGTGTATGTGCCAGTGTGTGTGTTGGCTGCTGTGTAGTGGAGACATGCAGGGCTCTGTTCTCTCTGTGGGCAGGCGGCTTTGATGCACTGCCTCCCTTATCTCATGCCTGGCAAGGTTAATGAAGGGGTGGCACTTTTGGAGGAAGTAGAAATGGGATGAGTAGCAAAGACCAGAGGAAGGCTTGGAGATGAAACATCCTGCTCTTAGCGGCTGTAAGTGGCAATTTTGGTGAATTACATAGACAATAAGAAAAGGGGGTTGTCCTCCTCTTAAACACAACAGTGGTCTGAATCAGGGATGGTTGATTGCATCTCTTTCAGCCTGGTTCATATGAAATTACATTAGCATTTAGGCATTGCTTGTAACTTGATCTGTCAAGCATCTCCTTATGAAGCCATTGCTAATGTTTGTAAGGAACATTCCAGTCTGGTTTGTGCTTGGTAATTTCATGTTTTTGAATGTGACACACAAAAGATCATTATAGCAGCTAAAAACCAAGAAATCGACTTGTGAAATTCAAAAAGTTGTTTTCCGTCTTTGAGCGTTAGATCATTGCTCATTTCAACCCGGAGAGCTCATCTGGTTTTCAGCAGGGTGTAGCCGCTCTGGTCCTTTGAAGGACTTCTGGAAACCCACTGTCTTTGTCCAGGGCAACAAGTCTCACTTAAGTGAAAGGGCTGGCTTATTTTATTTGTAATAAGTGTTTTGGAAGTTGCCGTTGCTTCAGTTTAAACAAAGGGCAGGAATGCCACCCTAATATACATATAATCACAGGTGATGTACTGCTAATGCTCTGTATTCTTTAGCTTTTTGGTTTTAATATTCCAATTCCCTTTGCATCTATAAGAGCTAATAGGTAAACAGTCGTGAATGGAAGAAATGAAGCAGGTCTACATGCCAATGAATTAGCATATAGATGAGTTCATCTCATACAAATAGTGCTCTTTTGCCCAGAACTCCCTGTGCTGAGCAAAGATCATGTATGTAAAGTATGCATGCAGAAAATGTAAATTAATCCATTTCAATCATCATTTTCTTCCTCCCTTCTCTCGTTTGTCCCTCGTTGCTCAAATGTTCAGAAACATTGAGAGGGCGGTCAAACTATTCCCCGAAGCAGCTTAATTGTTTAACATAAGTACAAGAAACACACTCTACTCGCAAAAAACATAGCAGATATAAATTGATGTCAATGACAAATAAGCACCCGGATCATTTGTATGTGGATAAGACAAAGGCTGAATTGAGTTTTACATAAATAAAAGCGCCTCAGTGTTTCTGAAATCAAATCATACTTTGATTTTCTAAAGCAGCGATTCCATAAAAGGAGTGCCATTGACCGTATGTTTTGTGTGTGATCCTCATTATTGTAATTCCATAAACAAACAGCACCTCTGTGAAACAACTATTTGTTACATAGCTCTTGTTAATATGCTGAAAGAAGCTTAAAGAATTGGGTCAGCTAATTAAGCAATTAGCTTATTTCAGCGCTGTGGTCAGGCTGTTACTAATCTACAGCATTGTGAGCTCAGAGCTGCCAAAAGCAGGAGAGCTTGTGTCTGTCTCCCATCCCGCCTCACAAAGGATCATGTTTGAAGCCATCCTTTCCCTCTGCAGAAAGCCAGAAGACTTGTCTCTGTTCACTAATGCTCACGTTTCTCATGCAAATCCCTGGAATTGAAAAGGTTGTTTATTGTCTAGTTAATATATTGAGACATTTATGTAGTGCTGTTGAAGTGTTTGATCTCTGCATTTGTAGCTATGTTAACACACATGAAATCCCAGACAGATTAGAGTTTGATAGCATTAGAGCCATGATAAATGTTGGTGGCTTTTCGCAGAGCCCGCCACGTGGCTTCTT